GCTATCTTCTCCAATGCAAGTTTCCTCTTCCGGAACCACAGGCTGAAGAAGGTGAAAAAAGGAAGTGGTTAAAAATGACGTTGAAAGAGACCTCGCTGGACGACCTTGCAGAAGAAGTCGACTACGCTGTGTTCGAAGCGCATCAATGGGCTCTAGAAGAGCATTTGAGTATTCGACGCCTAATTGCTGAACAGGAATGTTGCATCTTGGACGAGTTCCATGGATCGGCCAATGAGTCGAGTGAAGAAAAAGGATCAGAGACTAGAGAATGGCTGGTTAAAGCAAAAAGGGCTGAGGAACAGCTATCGAAGTTTTTGGTCAAAGCAGCTCAAGTTCAGCAAATGGTACAAGAAAATACCGCGCTTGAGGCAGCAGAGGAGGTTGAGTTCCTGCAAACAAAAGCAATCCCTACACAAGAAGCCATGCAAGAACTGGAAAAGTGGAGGGAATCATTGTCAGACGAGGTGACGTCTTTGGTGAAAGAGTTGGAGGTGGTGGAACCAACAACTCAAGAAAAGCTGGACAAATTGGCGGAAGAGCCTAATGCACCGGTGATTGAGTACGTTCCCAGTCTGGTGGTGTTTACCCGGAAGCAAGGGACAGGGAGGCGACGTGCCCGTATCTGTGCATGTGGAAACTTCATTTCGTCAACGGCAGCTACAGAATATGAAGGGCCGAGGTCACTCAGTCGTCACTCGCTGTACGCTCCAGGTTTAGATTCAACTACATTCAGGTGTCAAGTGAGGCACGCAGCATATATGGTGTGGATCATCGCTGGCTTAGACATTTCCAAAGCTTTTCTGACGGCGCCGATGAATAGGGCGCAAAGAGAAGGGCGTTTGGTGGTGGTGCAGCCCCCAAGGGCGGCGGTGAAATTGGGTCTTTGCACAAAAGAGGAGCGGTGGATTGTGAGGAAGGCCTTGTACGGTTTGGCCGAAAGTCCTGCAGCATGGGTGGAGTGGCGAGACCAACGTCTTCAAGGGATGTCTTGGGTGTCAAAGGATGGACAAGCAATGAGCTTTCAGAGGTCCAATGCAGACCCAAGCCTGTTCCTTATTCTGGCACAAGAGAAGTTGGAAGGTGCGAGCAAGTTGGTAGGGACAATGGGTCTTTACGTGGATGATTTTTTGATGGCTGGGACTATGACAGTGCTCCGGGAGGCCTTGGAACAGATTAGGAAGGAGTGGAAAACTTCTGAACCCGAGTTCTGTGGTCCAGGCTGCGGTGATGGATTCCTGAAGTTTTTAGGTGTCCAAATCTGGTATCGAAATGGCAGCTTCTTTCTCAACCAGGAGGACTTTGTGAGAGATTTGCTGAACCGACGAGGGTATCAGATCGACGAAACTGGAAAAGGAAGTAACCTGCCAATGGTGAAAGAAACTCCAGGTGAAGAAGAGGAGGTGGATATTCCTTCCTTGCGAGCGGCACAAGGTGCCGTAGGGGAGTTCCTCTGGGTGGCAATCAAAACTCGACCTGATTTGGCGTTCTGCACGAGCCAGTTGTCTTTGTGGACATCCCGAAGGCCGCGATTTGTGGTTAAAAAGGCTGAGGAAGTTTTCCGATACCTTGCTGCAACTCCAACGTTAGGTTTGACGTTCGGAGCAATCGCAACATGCGAAAAAGAAAGAAATGAGGTGTTGCGTTATGGACGAGGCGTTAAGGTGGTGGAGTCCTACGCGGATGCCAGCTTTGCAGCAGGTGAAAACGAAAAGAGCCACTCAGGAGCGGTGGTGGTGTGGGGTGACTGTCCAGTGATGTGGGCAACACAAAGACAATCAACGGTGGCTTTAAGTACAGCTGAAGCTGAATTACATGCGTCCATAGAGGGAGCAACGATGATTCAGTCGTGCACCCCTATAATTGCCGCTTTGGTTGGAACAGGTGAAGAATCGCTGCAAAAAGTGCTGTATACAGATTCGGTTTCAACGTGCTCGATCATTCAATATCCTGCTGGAAGCTGGAGGACAAGACACCTGAGAATTCGAGCAGCCGGTGTCAGGTCTCTGGTGGACCGTGGTTATATGGTAATAGCGCATCTTCGCGGTGAGTATATGATCGCTGACCTGTTGACTAAGTTGATGAGTGGACAGGTGTACGCAAAGCAAAAGGCACTTTGGGGTCTCCGACTGTTGGCACAAGGGACTGACTTGAAAAAAGCCTCGCTTGCAATGGCGGTCATGATGGTGGCTGCATCTCTGCAAGGGATGGCAACTGGTGGCGAAGAAGTGTCAACTGCTGGATTCTTTTGCTCAGAAGAAGGGGTGTGCAAGGTTGCCAACACGTCTGCGGTGATGGTTCTGGCTCAAGGTATTGAAATGGTTGTCAACAATTCAGACCTTGTTGCATATTTGGTGGCAGCAATTATACTCTGGGAACTGGCATGGTGCCTCTTTCGACGGCTGTATAAATGGCTGTGGATCAAGAAAGCGGTGGTTATTCCTGCGAGTGCCACTTTGTATACAACAGTGGGTGGGAACTGTATGCACGCAAGCAGTGACTGTGATGTTCTGCGATATTCACAGCTCAGAGCTAAGACGCTTTGTAAGCATTGCCTCAAGGATGGCTGGGTGGTGAATGCTGAGTTCCTTGGTGAGGAACGAGCCGCTGGAACGTGAATTTTCCAAGTGCGAGGTGAAGAAATCCTCAAAGGTAAAGGATTCAGCCAATGAGCTGAAGGTTCGTCCTGGAAGACGTTAAACCACAATGTGCATTTCAAGCAGCTGGCTGCTGCCTAAATGGCGGTTTTTGGCCAAAGATTTGCACCTCCAATGTGTCCTAGGAAATCCTAGGACAGGGGGAGTGCGGAGCTGCAATTGGTATTGTAGAAAGGAGTTGGTATTGGAAGTTCAAGGGTCAATGAACCCGATATTCGTTGGCTCAAGCCATGACCAAAGCGGTCGAAGATTTCGTAAAAAGTGTGCCCTTGGTTTGGGGTCTTGCTGTTCGGTTGTTGGTTGTTCCAGGGGTATTAAGGGCTTCTGTTGGGGTTGACTGTTTTGTTCCCTGTCCTCCTTCGGTTGCCCCCCGTATAGGGTTTGGGGTTTAGGGTTTAGGGTCTGTTGATTTGTTCTTTTTATGGGTTTAGGGTTGTCAGTGGCTTCACTTTTCTATTGCAGGACGGTGACACGCTGACCCTGCAAGTAAGTGGAGTTCAAGTCCAAGCCTCCGGTGGCGCTTTTGCTGCCATTCTGGGCGATGGATCCGTCGTGACCTTGGGTGATGCTGCTTATGGTGGTGACAGCAGTGCTGTGCAGGATCAGCTGAAGAATGTGATGCAGGTCCAAGCTACTTCCCGTGCTTTTGCAGCCATTCTTGGTGATGGTTCGGTCGTGACCTGGGGTCCTACTTCTTATGGCGGTGACAGCAGTGCCGTGCAGCATCAACTGAAGACTGTGCAGCAGATCCAAGCCAACGATACTGCTTTTGCCGCCATTCTGGGCGATGGATCCGTCGTGACCTGGGGAGATGCTTACTATGGTGGTGACAGCAGTGATGTGCAGCACCAGCTAAAACATGTGAAGCACATCCAAGCGTCTTTAGTCGCTTTCGCTGCAATTCTTGCCAGTGGATCCGTCGTGACCTGGGGTGACACATTTACGTGTGACAGTAGTGCCGTGCAGGGTCAGTTGAAAGATGTGCAGCAGATACAAACCTCTCGCACAGCTTTCGCTGCGATACTTGGCGATCAAACTGTTGTGACCTGGGGTTATGCTGCCGGTGGGGGTGACAGTAGTGCTGTGCAGGATCAGCTGAAGCACGTGCGTCAGATCCAAGCGTCTGCAAGCGCTTTCGCTGCCATTCTTGAAGATGGATCTGTGGTGACTTGGGGATGTGCTGACAGTGGTGGTGACAGCAGTGCTGTGCAGGATCAGCTAAAGAATGTGAAGCAGATTCAAGCCGGTGACTATGCATTTGCCGCCATTCTCGTCGATGGGTCTGTTGTGACCTGGGGCTTTGCGCATGTCCTGTCTGGTGACAGTAAGTCTGGGCAGGATCAGGTGAAGAATGTGCAACAGATCCAAGCCTCTGGCGACTTTTGTACCTACGCTTTTGCCGCCATTCTGCATGACGAATCCGTCGTGACCTGGGGCAGCGCCCGTTTCGGTGGTGACAGCAGTGCCGTGCAGGATCAGCTAAGGAATGTGAAGCAGATCCAAGCCTCAGATCGTGCGTTTGCTGCCATTCGTGGCGACGGATCTGTCGTGACCTGGGGCGATGTTGATGGTGGTGGCGACAGTAGTGCAGTGCAGGATCAGCTGAAGAATGTGCAGCAGATACGAGCCTCTCGATTCACTTTCGCTGCAGTTCTTGACGACGGATCTGTGGTGACCTGGGGTGTCGTTCCCAGCGAGGACACTAGCGAATGACTCTCCATGCCTTCGGCGGCAGCATCGAAAAGTCGAACTCTTGAATTAGTACCGAAAGTGCCCGACACCCCTTAATTCAGGAATATACCTCAAATTAAAGTTAAGGATGCCTATACAATTTAAGGTATATTCCTCAATCAAGTTCTATTGGCTCTCTGGGTACGAGGTTTCTTTTCGCTCGGTTCGATGGTCTAGGGCCTAGGGTTTTGGGTCTTTGAACTAGACGACTGGGCCCGTGGAGCCTGACATCCCTACATCCTACTAGTAATTCAAAATGTCCCTGAAGTTGTATACACCCAAACCCCAAACCTAAACCCCTAAAACCCTTTGTTAAAGCGTTCGCCGAAAATCGTGGTCTCCTTTTCCCTAAATCCTAACCCTAAAACCCTAAGACTCCGCAGGTTAGCGGCGACCGATTCTACTTGACATGCTGATGGAACCGTCAAATCCATGAGAGCCACCATAGACAACGGAAACGATGCCTCCTCAGCCAGCCCTACCCCCAAAAGCACCTAAACCCTAAACCTTGAACCCAAAACCACTAAAGCCCGAAGCCCTAAAGCCCTAAGCCCTACGCCCTAAGCCCCAACCCCTAAACCCCAAGCGCAACGACTCTCATGTCCCCTGCTGCAGGTACTCTGAGTCAGCGCAGAGGGGCTCGTGCGAAGCCGCTCGTGCGAGACGCCGGAAGACGGCGTCGCCGCGATGCGGGCTTTGGGTACAGGGTTTAGGTTTTAGGGTTTAGGGTTCAGGGTTCAGGGCCTCAGGTACTTTGGGTGCATCTCGCTTGTAATCGGGATTCGTCGTTTGAAGGCTTCCCGTAGGTTTTTTGGTAGCCGGAAAGATTTCTGACATCAACAGTTGGCCCCGGCTATGGCCAAATCCTTTTTAAAGGGGACCGGGTAGATGCTCCAATTCAGCTGCGACAAGCGAAGCTCTTGAACTTGACAGTCCTCCTGCTTCCCAGACATAGGTCTGTACAGCATCAAGTTCAAGCACGCCCAGACTTTGGCAGAACACTCAGACTTTGAGGAAAGCTTGCTCGCAGCCGATCGCGCCTCTGAGACGCGCGTTTCCAAATCCGCAGCCGTCCGCAACGTCCGAGTTGGGCCATCGCAACTTCTCGGTGCAGCGAAGGGCTCCCCGAAACCACGGTTTAGGGTTTAGGTTTTAGGGTTTAGGGTTTAGGGTTTGGGGTTTAGGGTCTACAGACGTTGCGGGCTTTCCGGTATTCCGCAGGATTTCTGCAGGCCAAATCATCGAATAGTAGCGGACAGGACCACGACTACTCGATGTCAAGATGGGTCCAAAAGTTTCTCGAAGACCTAAGCATGACCTCCTAAGGTAAGGAAGGCAGTGGTGTGCCGTAATGAAGGAGAGCCTTCCCAGTGAGTTGTAAGGTGAGGGTTTTTATGTGCAACAATGACTGGCTTGCAGAGTGGTGGCATTGGCTTGTCGATTGCCCTCCTGCGGCCTGCGCACGGGATTGCTCGCGCGGTGAACACGCCAGTGCTAAATCTCGGGTTTTAGGTTTTTTAGAGTTTGGGCGGGTCGAATTAAAGGCAAGGAAGGGGATGTCTAGCGTCGTCTCCCTTGGTTTCATGGATCGCAACTGGTACTTGCTGTAGTCCACTGTAGAAATGCCGGCCTCACATAAAAGCTGTGTCAGCAGATCTTAGGGTTTAGGGTTTAGAGTTTAGGGTTTAGGGTTAAGGTTTTATTAGGGTTTAGGGTTTAGGGTTTAGGTTTAGGGTTTAGGATTTAGGGCTTAGGGTTTAGGGCTTAGGGTTTAGGGTTTAAGGTTTAGGGTTTAGGGTTTGGGGTTTAGGGTTTAGGGGTAGTAGTTCCATGTCAAGGTTCTTGGGGGCAAGCCTTCTTACTCTTCCTCGGCAATCTCAGAGACAAGCTGGAGTTGTATCGCTGTTTCTTTTGTCGGTGCCTCGCGAGCTGCAGGCAATGAAGTGGTGGTGCGGAAAGGATGAAAAGAGAGCATCGGGCCTTGCCTTCAAGGCTTCTGATCCCCAAGTCAACGGTGTTCTTGGAGCAGCTACGACCGTGCGTTACACGAGGCCAGTAAAATTCCCGAACGGAAATTCTGCTTCTCAATTCCCCCCCCCCCCCCCATAGTTCGTGGTCATCATCCAGGGCACAAAGGTCATCATCAACCTGGACAATGCATTGCTCTTCTCCTTTGTTTGTCTTGGTCAAGCTAGTTCTGTATCCGAGGGCAACATGCGAGTGAAGATGTTGCAAGAACACAATAAGCTGCACAAGTATTTTGTGTTTTTGCGAAAATAGTCTAGTGAAACGAGCATGCTAGTGCGATCTTCATCTTATCGCGTGCCAAGCAGAGCAACGTTCTGGGCTTTTTAGTAGCATCCTTGTGAAACATTTAGTCGGATGACTGTACACGCCTGCCCCTTTCATGTTTCATGCCACTTCAGTCAATCTTGTGAGCTCGGGGTGTTGTCACAGGACAGCAATGTCCTTTAGGGACAACGACGGTGCAAAAGTCTTCTGTTCCCTAAAGTAAGAATTAATAAAGCGCCAATTGAATAATCGAAGTGGTTTATTCATTGATGTAGGATCCTCATGTGGGTAATTTCGTTTCGCTACAATCGGTTGTGGCGCCCGCCCGGCGAGCTGAGATTGAATGATAAGTTCTGGAGCCTAATTTTGGTATCATTGTTTCTTGGGCTCCGTATATTCTCATAATTTGGGGTGGCGACGGATCTTTTTTCTGGGAATATCTGGGGTCTTTGATTTCATATCATTGGATTTATCATGATTCTCGAAAGGGAAAATTACAGGGAAGAATCTCTCTCATTTCTTATAGGAGTAGGAACGTCTCATAAATCTATAATTTCGAAGAGATACTTCGATTTATATATATATATATATATATATATTTTCATTTTTTTGAATTTTTTAGATGATATTTAATTCATTCTTCTGAGAATATAAATTTCTCATACGATTTAATATCTTATACTTATTCGAATTAGGTCGAATTGGAAGAGAAAATATAAAATCTATGAGAAATTTTTCTAATTTCAATTTTCAATTCATTAAATATAAAAGAAATATCTTTTTATCGAGGGTTTTTATCGTAAATTCAAGAGAAATTGATGTGAATACGAATATGATACGAGAATCATAATATACGAGATATTATTATGATCTATATTAAGAAGATTATATATTATAATTGGGGATGATGGCAGACTTTTAAATATGTCGAGGTGTCTTTGGAATTTTTGGGAATGATAATCTCTTATCTCTGGAGATTTCTGATTGATAATTTTGGGCGTAGAAATTGTATCTTGGAGAATTTGAAATTCTTCTTATATGGATTCTTTTTCATATGTATTATATTGAATCTACTAAGAGGAAAATTTGGATTTGCTCCATATATTCTCTTCATTCGGGGTGGTGGTGGGTTTGTTTTTTCTGAGAGTGTATGGAGCAAAGACGGTGAATTTCTTCATCGAGGCTTTATTATCTCTATCTACGATATTTCATTCGGATGCGGGGATTTTTGGACATAGAAATCGTTCAAATCTTATTTCATATGGTCTCTTTTATAGAGAGATCCTTTATTTTAGATTGGATGATCATCTTCCGGGGTTTTTTTTGTTTAATTAGTTCTTTGGACGCATAAATCGTTTATACTGGACGACATTGAGAGGGATATATATTCCCAATAAGAGGAATATAATTTTTCAAAAATTCTAAAATGAAATGAAAATTTCTACTTCTTCTAGAAATATATTATAGGTTTACGAACAGATTTTATTAATATCCTCGAAAGAAATAGAAAATCAAGAAAATATTCCTCCATTCCCAAGCCCGTGCAAAGGATCCCCCACCGCCCCGAATGCGACATGGGAGAAGAGAAGAATCGGAAGAGAAAATGAAGAATCCGCCTCGAGGATATTGGAAAGGAAAATGAAATATTCTATTATAAATTATCATGGATATATTCCATTCCTAGCTACCTGATGCGTACGTTGCAACACGTATGCCACATGGAAGTCACGCTTCAAGTCGACAGAAATCCTGGCCGAAAACTTTCCACAACTAGTCCCAAATATAATCCCCATTCACCCATCAGCCATCCGACGCAAAGAATCCAAAATGGACGAAATTTCCGATATCGTACCCCCGATTGATTCCCATATTAATGGCTCAAAGCCAATGATTTGCGCGGCGCATCTCTCTATCTTATAGTTAGATAGTCGCTTCCGCCCCGTATGCTTGGAGGCTGCACTAAATTGATGATATTCAATCTCTCTAAATATATGGGTAATAAAAGACGAAACCATCGCATAATCTAATTCAATACGAGAAAAATCATGATATTAGTCCCTCGGAAAATACTATTATGGAATATTCTATATATAATTTATTTGTATCCTTGATCTATATACGTCAAGATATGGTAATCCTAAGGACCCATCCATCGATTATTGCCTAAGGACCCAGCCATCGATTATTGATATCAAGATCAATTCCCGAAACCTTCGAACGTAGCGACCCCAATAGTAAATATATCGCATCCCGAAATGTGGGGATCGGGTAAGAGAAAATCCTATACCATTCCTGGTTTCTGATGCATCCACGCATCCGTACTTTAGTTGCCGCCGCGCGTAAACGTGCCCTTCCTGAACCATGCACTTGATTTAGAAACGCCTTGGTCATCTTCTTCAATTTGCCGCAATTTCTGGATAGAAGTTGACCATGATATATCTCAATCGATCCACTATATATTGAGCGATGCTGAATCGCCAAATATTCATCATCATATGGCGATTCCCTTCCCGAGATCTCATACGACAGATCTGATTTACGAACGAAATCAAGTCAAGATCCCCACGACAAAGAAGAAATTTAGTTTGCGTCCACTGTTGTTGGGGCAGGATCGATCCTATATTTGTTAGTGAGTGAACGCTTCCGCGGGGACGTATCGCGATTCCAATCATTAGGAATACGTGTGGTCACGGGCGAGGGATATCTTCATATTATTTAGGAGGATTATCAATGAGAATATGGATTTAGATGCAGGAAGAATTAGAGAATTTATTTCATATTCTGGAATATTTGTCTGTTTCATATGGGACATTCAATTTGTTTCGATGTGGTACTTCTTATAATAAGATTCAATAGATTTTATTGGAATATTGTCATCGGAAAAGAGCGGAATTATGATGGATCTGTCACGGAGCCGTATCGGAAGGCTGCAACGGAGCGCTACCGAGTGTAGCGATGTTGTAATGGAAATTGTAAAGGAGCCATAGCAGACAACAGACTTATAATATAATTATAATGGAATTATCTAATTGAATTTTAAAATAGAAGTTGTGGGAGCTGTAATGGAGGCATAATAGAATTCTAATAGAGTTGAAATAGAAGTTATCAGAATTATAATGAAAGCGTAATCCACGATGGTTAGTTCAAATCCCATAATAAATGAATCAATAATCAATACGATTCTTTTTTTAAGATGTAATTGTCGCGCCAATGATCCCCAAATATTCATGGCTCAAAGAATTCAATTATTCTCTCTTCCTATAGAAGATTCATATTTAAATATCATTTTTAGGAATATAAATCTCTTATCCTACCTTATTAATAAATAGAATCGTATGAAGAAATATAAAGAATTAAGAATAATTATCAAAATATTTCAATGTATTTTTCCCATTCAATATTCCAATCTTTTAATTTCAATATAATATATTAATTGATATATCCCTTCCCATCCCCCCGCCATCCCCAATAAAAAAACGAATTTCTCTGAATTTATATAAAAGGTAATTTATATGAATTTGAAAAGATCATATTTTTTTTAAAAAGACGAGTAAGAATGAATTCATAGAGATCCATGTAATTTTCAAGAGGTGAGATTGTATGAAATTCAAAAAAAGTCATACGGTTTTTAAAGAGATGAATCCATATTATTTAAAAAACAAGATAAATTTAAAAGGGATCCATATCATTTTATCAAAGTATCATTTAAAAAAGATGAGCTTATGTGAATTTAAAGGGGATCCATCTACCCCCAAACAAGCCAGCCCAACAACAAAGAATCATTCTGGGGGACCAAACGTTTCTATTTTTTCATACGGGATTCGGGCAGTTGCCGGACTATGAAATTTGATTGCCTGGCCTCGGTACAAAAGCATTTTATAGGCAAAACCTTAGCTTTGGGGCTGGCCTGGAGACTTAAGATTTCAGGGCCCGACAACCTCAGGCCCGTCAACCTCAGGCCTCAAGGTTTCAGGCTTTAAACCTTTGCTCAGGCTCAGATCTTCGCCGAAATTTTGCATCGCCCGATTTTTTTCTTCACAATTCCGGGGGACCTCCTCAAATAGACCCCGCTGAAGAACTTTCGGTTTTTTTCTCACAATTCGGGGGACCACACTAATCAAGGATACAGCATTATGAGGCAGCCGTAGTCTGGCTTTTGTCCTCCACGCCTCTTCGAGGTGCGCGCGGGCCGCGCGGGATGGGATTTGGGAGAGCTCCTCCCCACTTTGCTCTCAAGGCCTTCGGCCTTAAGGTGCAGTTGCACTACAGCCAGCTGCGAAGCTAACCACTTACTCCTAAACCCTCCCGGGCAAGATCACCGTGGTGCAGGGAAGGGATCTGGGCACATGCTGCTTCGCCATAAAACCGGCGCCTCGCGAACGCATGTGACCATCACGCGGCAACTTTCCAGCGCTCGACCTTCACAAAGGTTTCTTTCAGCAGAGGTCTTGCGGAAGTGGGCACCTCCTCACCTTCCAGCCCCCCGCTTCTTGCGGACTGGATGAAGTCGCAAAGACCATCGCCCTGGAATGGCAGCTCCAGTGGAAAAACATAGCGCCTGAGGACGTCCTGTTCCATCCCCCCCTGAAACTTCGATATGCCAGCCAGCTGGCCCAGAAAGAGCACTGCCACAGCAGCCTGCGCCTCGAGATCTGCTAGTTCCATGGCTCCGGAACCCTCTGCAACGCGTTGCGTGCACAGAAAGCGGCCAAGCACGTCAGGTTCCAGAAAGGTTGAATTCAGAAGGCAGAAGGGGATGTCGGGGAATGTCTGGGCTATGCCTGCCATTATGTCAATTATGTCTGAGATGGCCGAGGTCGTATCTCGTAGCTCGCCAGTGCCAAGCCACACGGTGAGAAGTCCACCGGTGGCCTTGAGGAGGTAGTGCCCTCTGTTGGCCTGGAAGGAATTCGGGCAAGGCCACACTCTGTTATGTTCCTCCACCATATTAGGATGTTCTGAGATGTCGTGCTCCCAATAAAGTAAGGGGGGCAATTCTTTTTGCACAAAGCACTCTGCATAATCTTAGAAGTCGCTGGCAAGCTAAGCCAGCTTACTCGGGGACCCCCAACCCTTTTTGACAAATTTGCAACTGCACTGGGCCTCGTGAAGTACGCCGAACAATGGAAGAGCCTGATCAGAACTTGACTGAGGTTGAGGTTGGGGAAGGTGGCCATGCCGAGACATCCATAGTCTTCATCCAACAAGGGCCAGGATACGGTTAGCTCCTATGGCGGACCCAAGACCGCGGAGTCTTCAAACAAAAAGCCAGCCAGCCACCCCCCCCCCCCCCCCCCCCCCCCCCCACAATGCACACACGAACCTCTCGCCTCATCCACCACAAAGTCGGCCACAGCCTTTCCCTCGAATCGGCCCGTATATGAGATGGCAGGCCTCTCACAGGCGTGGTGGCACGAACTTGTCGACTTACTCTTCGCTCTTTTGGTTGCCGTTTCAGTACATGTGCCGTCTGAAACTGCCTGAAGCTGCACCATACGCAGATCAACGACGCACTTCCAAAAGGTGTTTCTGGATGGTGCAGCCGCCCTCTTCAAGTAGAACTGGCGAAGGTATTGGCCAGAAACTATATTCTCAGACAAGGGTCTCATTGAAGCCGCGATAAAGCGTAACCTCGGGTGTCCAGCCCTGTTGATCCCACACAACTTATTGCCCATTCTGGTACCAACTCCAAAACAAGTGATGGACCTATGTGCCCTTCAAGGTGTTCTAGCTCAAGCCACTTTGGTTGCGGGTGTGATTACTCAAAGGGCCCTTGTCCAACCTCTTTGGGAGTACACCTTTGCTACCCACCCCCCAGAGCCACTTTTGAGCAAGGAGACCCCGCAAGCTTTCTCCTCGCTGGCGCGGTTGACGAGCGTGACGAGATGGGTCTGGAGGTTGGATTGCTTCATCTGCACCTGAGGCGCCCTAATCCCTAATCCCTAAACCCTCAACTTTAAACCCTAAACCCTAAACCCTAAACCTTAAACCCTAAACCCTAAACCTGATGTTCGAGGGGTGTCTGGATTTAGGGATGCCAGACTGTCATCCTGGCGCCTCCTTTACACAGGCTTGGGGCGAGCAGCATAGCGGCCCATTCTGAAGATCTCATTTTCGGACCTTGGTGTAGGAATATCAAGCGACAATGGTTCAGACAGTGCACTAGCTTCGGGTTTGGTGGATGTTTAGGCCCGCTTTTCCAAGAGACTTCGCCCGCCTCGGCCCCCTAAACCCTGAACCCTTTTGCATCCAGGCTTGGGTGAGCGTGCTGGGAAAGAGCTCATGCTGCCCAGGTTCGTTGTAACCCTAAACCCTAAAACCTAAACCCTAGACGCCCTAGACCCTAAGACTCGGTTTAAGCGGTTGTAAGGTTTAGGGATCTCAAGAGGAATCTAGCTCCGAGAGGCTCCGGTGTGCAACTGAGGCAGATCACGGATGCCTGCGGTAGCTTCGACTTTCCAACGGCCGCCATGAATTCGGGACCATCCACATACCTTTTAGGGTTTAGGGTTTAGGGCTGGTGCGCGAAGAGTCCGTACCAAGTTGCTGTGAGGATTCTCGAGTGATGCTGCGTCCGCAAGCATGCGCTAGAAAGCAATCTTGCCAAAGAGTCAAGGCTTGAGGTCTAGGGTTTAGGGTTTAGGGTTTAGCAGCGTGTGCAGCATTCGATCTCCAAGGTGCACATGTGGCAGCTGATCGATGCTCCGCACGGAAGCCCGCATTCTCCAGAAAATGTTCAGTACCTCCTCGTCGGTCATGTCCGGCCTGGATCTCTAGAAGCTGAAAGCCTCTGCACCCTGGGTCCCAACCGATAACACATCAGATCAGCAGCTGTTCACTGTTTTTTCCGGAGCTGGAAAATGAGCTACAAGTAGCCAGGATCCACACGGCCTGTAGCCAGACTCAGGAATGGCAGCCTGCCGAAAGGCGTGGATGAAGAGATCTGGCCTCCAGTCACTCGGGGAGGCATGAACCAAGAAGGGAGGAAGCCGAGGCAAGGCACGCCGCCTCTATGTCTTCCTGCACGCAAACTACAGCACCGGGAGTAAGGTATGGACTGCATGAGGTCGACAACTTGCAGCAGATCGCAGAACTGCATGATCTTGATCCTAAGTTGAAACAATGCCGCAAGCCGAGGAAAGGGCACGCTCGACGGCATCTTCGTTACGAACACTACCACAGAATAGCCTGACAAGTGCGCTTCTCCTCCTTCAGGCTACACAAGCACTAGCAAGACTGAAACACATTTGACTAATCATCATGGATAATGTGTCTTTATTCTCTCTCTATAATATGACAAGATCCCTACTAAAGTGCTTGGACATCATCTTTGGCCCTTGGTAGTTGTGCAGAAGCCCGCAGGCCTGAAATGCTCAGGCTTTCAGTCTGAAGCCCGAGAAGCCCGTCCTAGGAAGTTCGATTTTCGAGCTCCGGAGTGTTTGAAACTTGAAGCTTGAACAATTTGAACAATCTCCCCCGAATTCAGCACCCACAGTAGCTTAGAAACAGCCACCTTTCTCAGCTCAGTAGGAGGAAGAGGTGGAGTAGGCGCCCCCCCCCCCTCCCTACCAACTGCCCCAGCAACAGTCCATGTTCGCACTGGAATGGCCAAAGCATCCAAATACCATAATCAAATTTAAGGTACTTGGCGGGGGGGTGGGGCGCTACATGACGTTTCTGGAGCAGGAAGTGCTGTCACCAGCGTCAATGCCGCTTTTGCGACATGCCCAAAACACTGGCATTTACGGTGTACAGCGGTTTTGGTTTAGCACAATCAGGAATGTACTACTACTCCTACAAAATACACCCTGAGCCTCGTAACCGACACAAGAGCAATAGAAAGAATTTCGAGCAGTTGGAACACATTGCCTAGTCAAGAACAGTCGCAGTCGTCGTCGTAGTAATCATTCTACCCTAAACCCTAAACCCTAAACCCTAAACCCTAAACCCTAAACCCTAGCAAGAGTAACCAGTAGTGGCAGGGACCATGGTGCGAGGGTCTGATCGTCGTCGCTCGCAAAGTCTTCGGTCTGCTCCTGAAACTCACCGAAAGCCTCCTGCACCTCGTCGAAGCTGCTTGCCTTCACATCTTTCATCGGCAGATTCTTTTTTGGGGTTCCCGAAGTAAGGTCTCTTTTTGAAGGGGGGCTTCTGCTCTACTTTTGGGGGGTAAAAGGGGCAGTACCCCGATTATAGGAACCCCCCCCCATATCTGCAGAATACATGGGTCTTTAAGATCATCCATTCCCCCTAGACCCTAGACCCTACACCCAAAACCGAACTCCCCGGGGCAGGCAGCTGCCTCCTTCAGTTTCTGGCGGGTCGCCTCCACTCTCCTTCATGCAGGCTGCTTGGTCCCACTTCCTTTAAACCTTCTGAAGGCCTTGTGTGATCTCGCATCAACACTTCATAGGCATAGGACTTCGTCATGAAAAGCGCCTCTGAAACTCGTAATCCGCATCGGGTGAGGAGATGCCACGCAGTTGGTAGCGCATCCTTTGCTGTTTGTCGGGGGCCACAGCGGACAAAACACGCATCGTTTGGGCAGGGTTTAGGGGTGTCGGCACATCATCTGCAGCAACATCTCTTTCTGTCATGAAGGGCTTCACGTGGCTTAAAGAAGCCCGACATCTGCTTCTAAATCAAAAGCGGCGACAGACGGAAATAGTGAATTTGTAGCGGCCTTTTGGGTCGGTTTTAAAACCAAGAATGTTTGGATGGCCCTCGTAATTCCTTTTATGGGCTCTCATAAACTTCGAAAGGGGTTGGCCCATTAAGAAAAATGAGAGAATAGAAAGATACATGACCAAGAACTTTCTAGAAAATGTCAAAAAGTTGTAGATTGCAGATTATGAAATGAATTAATTTCCAATGTCCAATGTTCTAAAGTATGAGTCGGTGTGTTCGCTAATTCTTTTGTTCATACGCTCATACGGTATGATTAGTATTCTTGAGCAAGGGCAATAAGTTATAAGGAAGTGAGCAAAGAAATACTTGCTCACAGCCCTTCTCATCAGTACTTTTTGGCCGCGTCTTTTCTCTCTTCTTTCTTCTTGCTTTATCCTCTTTTTAACACGTCCTCTTGTTGGGGGCAAAGCAAAAGGAAAAGACGCATCCCCCCCCATCCCCCTCACCCCCTCCCCCCCCGAATTTACAAGGAGCCAAGACATGGGACACCCTAAACACTGACCCCCAAAAAAGAGCACCCGACCGATTAGGGTTTAGGGTTTAGGGTTTAGGGTTTAGGGTTTAGGGTTTAGGGTTTAGGGTTTAGGGCCAAGCCTCTCCAGTCGCAGCTCGAGGCTGCTCAGGTGAGCCACAGTCATCAGCGCCGAGCGGGTGCGCTCGTTGAACCCGTCCTTGTCCTGGATCTTTGCCTTGGAGCCACAGCTTCTGAGACCCTGGCTACGCATTGCTTAAGAAGCCTCCAAAAAAAGCAAACATATTCTTCCTTGTGAGGGTAATATGGGGGATTTGTCGTGTTTTGTGATTTTGGGAGTTCTTAAGCAACTAGCAAGGGGCGCCTCCAGGTGTCGTAGCACACATCGCTGTGCATATCGTGGAGTAGAACTCGTTCCAGGGTTGATGGCACCCTAAACCCTAAACCCTAAACCCTAAACACTAAACCCTAAACCCTAAACCCTAAACCCAGGCAGAAGAGACAAGAGAAGAACGCACCAGACAGCCTCAACGCTTAGCTTTCCCACACGCCGAGGGGCCAGGATCATCTGAACATCTTCAGGCCGACTGGCCTCAAGCTCTGCTAGGAATCGAACACCCCTTCTCCCCACAATGGCAGGAACCTCCCTAAACCCTAAACCCTGAACCCTGAACCCTCAAACCCTAAACCCTAAACCCCTTTTGAAACCCTGAACCTTCGTGAAGCAACAAGAGCACTCCATAGGGGACTTCTCGCATCGGGCCTCGCCTGGGCTTCCCGTACGTCCATCGTCTTCACTCGGCCCAGGAGCTCCATACCTCATGGGGTTTGGGGTTTAGGGTTTAGGGTTTAGGGCTTGGGGTTTAGGGGGCTTTAAGGGAACATGAGGTGGTGTGAATGAAGGTTTGGGGTTTCGACTCTCGCACGAGCACACGCAGGAAAGGAGCCGGTAGGTTCAACGACGGGTTTAGGGTTTAGGGTTAGGGTTTAGGGTTTAGGGTTTAGGGTTCAAGTAGTTCCATTTTTTACCACCCCGTCTAGCAATGCTCCACGGGGCAACGGTAGAGAGAAGGCGTTGCGCTCCCAAGTTCAAGCCCAATCAAGGTTAAGGGGGACTCTTCGTCAACCCACAGACTCACAAAGTCCTGAGGGTTTAGGGTTTAGGTGTCAGGATCTACTCACCAGGATCCTAACCCTAAAGCCTAATCCCCCAAACCCTAAAATGCAATGACTCCCCAAGAACATGTTCTACTTGAGTGCAGGGCGCCTCGTGGCTGAAGGACGACCACTTTGCAGGGCAGTTGGTTCCGGAAAACCTCTTTGGCCAGGAAGCTTCTGAAAACTAGGGGGCAGCTCATCACTTTTAGACCTTTTTTGGGGTATAAGAATGCTAAACGTATTCTCAGAAGTACCAAACCCTAAACCCGAAACTCTTTTGGTGAGGGTTCAGGAGGGTTTAGGGAAACTCCGACTGGGATCTGGGGTCGTTGCCTCTCAAACTGACTTATTGGCGAGAGAGATTTCAAGACTGCATGCATCATGACCCCTAAACCCTAAACCCTATACCCTAACCCCTAAACCCTCCCCCGTGGCCTCTGCAATCTCGGCGATGACCCAAATGCGCGTGAGCAGACGCAGGTCATCGTCCACGGCCACCACCTTGGGTGCCATGCGCACTGAGGCTCCAAGCTTGCCCTTGGAACTAGACCCTAAACCCTAAACCCTAAACCCTAAACCCTAAGATTGGCTTGTTGTGATGCCCAACCTCCGGAGGAATCAGCAGAAAGGTCCAACATCCAGAGGGGGATGTCGATGTGAATTGAATTGTATCGAATGAGGGCTTCACAACAGGACCTGTTCGACTTCGATCGACAAAACCTCTTTCTGAGCTATGAAGAACGTCCTTCGAAGCCTGCCGAGCTGCGTGCTCGTACTGTGGGTGCCGTACTTTGAAGAGCGCAATCATGGCCTTGGTGGCTCTGGCAACATCTGGCGTCTTCACCAACAGACTCACAGATCCCCACCCCCCAAGCGCCCCAAGGCCTAAATTCTGCAGGGTGTCATCGAACTTGTTCATCTCGCAACGTGCCCCTGAATGGATCTTCTCCTCAGGGTGGAGGCGTGCAGCTCCCTTATGGGGGTCTTTGCAAGGTTACGAAGTATTCTTCGACCGCTGTGTGTCACAGCTTCCAGCATGGGCCGTCAACACCATCAGACGACCGAGTAGCGAAGGCCAGCAGACTTATGATGAAAGGCAATACTACTATTTATAGAATATATGTATATACACACATACATACAGACACACATACATACATCCATTCATGCGTACATACATACAGACATACATGCATACATGCATACATACATGTATACATGTATGTATGTATGCATGTATGTATGTATACCATATATATATATGTATATATATATGTATATATATATATATGTATATATATATGTATATATATATATGTATATATATACATATACATATATATATATTATATTATATCCAGCTATATCAAATACATAAAACATATACACACAAACGTATCAAGCAGTACCCAACGATGTAAACCCCCCGGAGCTGTCCCGGAGTAGCCACAGGGAACAGCAATTTTCTGTTGCAACAAATGGTGAAGCTCCAGACGTACCAACCAGCTGAGGAACTGCAATCGCCATGACGGGAAAAGCACTCATGTAAAGTCTACGCGCGAATTTGTACAGGCTTTTTGGGAGCTCAAATACAAATTTGTGTAGGGAGCATGGACAGCGGGAAGACCCTAAACCCTAAACCCATTCAAGCCTTAACCCTCAACCCTGAACCCGTTTAGGGTTTGGGGTTTAGGATTTAGGGTTTAGTTCCTAAACCCTAAGCTCCCCTCTCCTTTCCGCAGCTGCATGGCTTGTAGGGCGTGCCCAGAGCATTTGTGCCACCCCAGGTCTTATCACAGATGGATACGTGCCTGGACTCGAGGGTACTGTTGGTTACTGTTGGTTAATAGGGAATGGCGAAAGAAGGTACCCTATGATAATCCCTTAAAGGATATATGTAGGGTCCTAATTCCCTCATTCCCTGCGAACCAACAGTAAGTTTCCCGGTCTCTCGGGCCCTTCACGGCTTTTCTGCACTACCTGGTTTTGGGTTTGTCCCCGGCGGCACCCAGAACCGCCCAAAATCCCCAAACCCCCAAACCTTATACTGAACCGAAGCCTTAACCTAACCCCCAAACTTCAAACCCTAAACCCTAAACCCTAATTCAAGTGGCAACTTCAGGAAGCTTAGAAAGGGCACTTAGACACCTCGGTTTAGAGGAGGGAATGATGTGGAAAACAACCCCCCCCCCCCACCGCCCCCTGTGGTTCATTGGTCTGTGGTTCATGGTGGGTTTGGGGTTAACCGGTAGGGTTTGGGGTTGTCACCCTGCTCTCCATGCTCCATTGTGGGCGTAAAGTTAGTAGAGTTAAGGCTTCAGGGTTGAGGTGCGGGTTTTTAGGGCTTCCCTCCGCCCCCTGTTGTTCGTGGTGGGTTTGCTGACGTTCAGGGTTTAGGGTCCAGGCGCTTGCGGTTCATCAGAAGACGACAACCAATTGCCTTGTATACCAACTGCAAACACTCCCTTCGTCTTTGCTGCACCCAACATGACACTTCGCAGGTTTACGCTTTAGGGTTAAAGTCTTCACATGTGTGTGGTTCACAATGCGAGGCTCGCGTGACAGCAATGTTCCAGGAAGTGGAGCTGAAGGCTCAGGCAAAAACCTCCGAAAAGGAAGAACAACTCAACAGTGAGGAGAGCAACCCGGTAACCCTAAACCTTATAACCCTAAACCTTATAACCCTAAACCCTAAACCAACTCAACAGTGAGGAGGGTAACCCGGTAACCCTAAACCTTATAACCCTAAACCCTAAACCCTCAAAACCTTATGGCTCATCTTAGGTGCTGGTTCACCGCGAAGATGCAGAGCCAACGGGTGCTGTCCAGCTGTCCCGCATCGCTGAGCTGCGCCTCAATGAGGTCCCAACCTGTCCCAGGACTGAGGGATTCAAACCCTAAACCCTAAACCCTAAACCCTAAACCCTAAACCCTAAACCCTAAACCCTAACCCTAAACCCTAAACCCTAAACCCAAGGGCTTTGGGGTTTGAAAGGCAAGGTTGATTTTAAGGTTTAGGACCTAGGACGTAGAAGGGGCTTAAGGCCTTTAGGCTTTCCAGTGAAAGACTTGAGCGACTTCGGAATCAGAGAACTAGCCATGAACCCTCAAGCAGCAGCCATAGTGAGGGACTGCCAGGGAGTGGAGTTCAACTGTAACCCTAAACCCTAAACCTTAAACCCCGCAGCTGCTGGTTCAAGGCTTCGATGCCTCTGGCTCCCAGCCGCATCCATGCCAAGATTGTTCGGAAGCTGCTCTTGCCAGCTGCATCAGCAAACAAAGCGGCCATCAAGTGGGAAAAAAGATTGCCCCAGTTGTGCGACACCATCTTGTCTGGCAGACGCTTCTCCTGAGCAGCTAGCCGTTTGGAGACGCTTTGATCGCCTGCACTTCTGCGAATCTGCCAAGCGGCACCACGTTGAAGGAGCTCCGCATATGCACACCCCCTTTCTGCCGTTTCTGGGATGATTACCTCAAACCCGCAATGCAATGCTGCATGGTACCCTCAGCAGCATGATCAAACTGATTGCCGGCTCAAGGCCTGCCATACGACATCGGCCGTCCTGTTGCAGCCCAAAGACTGAGGCTTTTCATAAACTCGGTAGACGCCAAAATGAAGCTAAGCAGATTTAAACAAAGTTATTCGCAGGAACGGGCATGACATTCCCGCACGAACATCACTCCCCCCCCCCCCCCCCGCCGCCCAAGGTGCCCCCCACCCTAGAATGTTGGGCAGTCCTTGTGGAGTCCATGTCGTAATGAGGCATCACCTCCTGCAAGCGCCGCATGAATCCCAGCAAGCCTGGAGGAGAATCGGATTTTGGGGATTTGGAATTGCCCAGGGGGTCAGATGTGAAATGAAGAGTCCCACCAGGTTCAGTTCCACTTACTAAAACTGTCAGGCGATGTGCCCTCTAGCAGATCCTACCAAGTTCGGCAATGATCGTTCAAGTGCAATGTAACGACATGTCAAACAGCATCTTAGGGGCTCCGTAGCGTCACGCCGCGGTGTGCCAAGGCATCCACGACCCTCTGCTCTTCATCCCCACAGTCCTGCTGTGCCAAATTGAGCGTGTGAGGCACAAGGCTTCTTGAGAAGAGCCGCATCTTTTCAAGCCGTGCTCCTTCGGTGCCTGTGAGGCCTGTGAGGGGCTTGTCTGAAGCCAGGTGAGAAACGGCGACATCTGGACGTTGCCGCTGGAGAGATCGGGCTTGCTTGCCCTGTAAGCTTCCAGCAGCAGCTCAAAGGTCTCCATGCGCTCCGCTCCCAACCTCGGATCGCTGGATTTCAATCTTTTCCATCTCTTTTTGCAGAACTCTCCTTCCTTTTGGAAGTTCATTTGCAAGAGTGATATCTGCACAGCTGAAAGATGATGAAAGGCTCTGACGTCTGAAGGATCTGAAGGACCCTTCGCTTTGGAATCTCCTCCAGGTCCGCTTGGCGGAACACCTCCAGAACTGACTCCATGGGGGGGCGGACTTTGGACGCCTGCGGCGACTTCGCCTGAGACTTTGAGCCAGCCTTTTCTTGCGGCGAGGAAGGCGGCGAATCTGCGAAGTCGATAAAACAACACAACAATACGTATGCTAAGTACTCTTGCCATGTGAGTTCTCAACCATGGCCCGCCTGATGCCTGCGTCGTTCCGGCGGTCACACAGCCACAACTCACCGGATCACTCAATGGAAAGCTGGTTCCCCCTGAAGTTTCCCTTGAGACAGCTAGAGATGAACAGGCAAAGCGAATCGTTGAAGGAATCGGGGAAGCCTTGTCTTTCGACCTATTCAATGGGATCCTGCAGAAAAGGATGGCCAGTAGAAGGGGGATTTAGAAACGCAGACGGGCGGGCGATTGTTTGCCTCGGTCAGGATGATTTCTCCGTGGCTGCACGCTCCTGTACATTAGCATCGGAATCCGTGATTTTGCTTCTGGATTTCAGAGACCGATCTATCTCAGCGTTGGCACCCCCAATGTCATCCAAGGTCACCTGATTTTGCAGGCGCATCGTGCGTTGCAAGGTATGTCTTGATATGCTTACAGTCTTACAGTATCAGTGCTTCTTCCTGTTCCATATCTCGGAAGTTGCTGGGGCATGGCAGCCAAGCTTGCTAGAATTAGGCCCCCCCCCCCCCCCCCCCCCCCAAGTCTAGGTCCAAGGGGCGGCTTGCTTCTCGACAAGGGTGTAGTAGTAGCCTGTCAGACGCAAGTTCATGCCAAACATGCTGTCCAAAGCATGGGCGCGGCCCGGCAACTGCAATCCCACACGCTTTTTATGGGGGTTGAGGGGCCGGGGGGGGGGGGCGGTTCCCGACAATCCGGTTACTCTTTTGGAGGCTTGCGTTTTAAGGGGAATCCGATTTTGCTAGAGGTACAATAAGGGGGTACCGCCGCCCATATTTTGCAAGGATTATGTGATGTTCTCGAGTAGGGGGTGTAGTGTCAAGTCAGCGCAATCTTGAGATCAGCTGTGGACAGGGCCTTGTTCCTGTGGGGAAAGTTTAGTAAGCTGGTATTGTTTTAAAGTCTTCTCTGGACTTACGGCTGCGCCACTTCGCCCCTGGCTCTTGCAGTATACGTATTCGAGCTTCACGGCTCGGAGTGCAGGCTTTGGGACGGCTTCGTGGCGTGATGCTCCCCGCGCCTCTCAACTCCATGAGCTCTTTTGAGGACCCTCGCTCCACAACGTGGCCTGCGGCAAATTTTGGGACAAGTGCCAAGCGAAGGTCGGGAGAGGACGTCAGCTTTGAAAAGCATTCATGTCACAAACAAGAACCTGCATGCCTGTATGCTCGAACCTGAAATCTGCGCATGCCCCATGAAACCTGCATAAACCCTAAACCCTAAACCCTAAACCCTGCCCTAGCGATCCCAAGAGGTCAAGTCTGCTGGAGGCCTTCCCGAAGGCAGATGATCTCATCCTTGCACCGAGATGTCAACTCGCTGTCGGATTTGGGGGTTTAGGGTTTAGGGTTTAGGGTTTCGGCTCTTGCATCCCGAACATTAAGCTCTGATAACGCGGTCGGTTGATAAGGGCAGGCAAGCCTTTCAAGCTCTGTCCGTCTGTTAGGATTTTTTGCCGTCCCTTCTTCTTCTTCTTCCGCTTCTTCAGGGCGGGAGAAAATTCCTCCGTATTAGGGTTGACTGGCCTCGACCCTTGTTTCGGTTGTAAGAGGTTCCTCAGGGCAAGCACCTTTTTTGGCATCTGGGGGGATCTTGAGGTCAGTACCCTCAGGCCCTCAGAAGTTTTCAGCATGGTGTCCCCCACCTCACCCTAAGGCCCTAAGGGGTTCCAGTAACCTCAAAGTGTATCGCCAGATCCCTAAGGGCTCCCTTGACCCCTCCGCTGTCACTTCGACAAAGCTGCAGCATTCCGAACTGTGGACAAGCGGTGGGCGATCACCTCGGAAGACAATGTGAGGGTGCAGGGTGGAATCACTTGGATTTTGTGGCCCGAGCCAAGTAAAATACAAAGCAAGGCCTTCTCTGGTCTACTGCGGGCTTGAGACTTGGCAACTTGAAGGATCAGGTCCCCTTTGAAACACGAAGTATCCTCTGAGGGAAGAGTAGAGCATGGGGGTGTGTGGCACCCTCCTCTGATAGTCTTGTCAACCTTGGCCCTCCACACATGTCCCCCCAAACTCTACCAAGCCCAATCAGAGCCAAAGCGCCATGACACTGCTGCCGCTACTTGCCACCAACCGATCGAGAGCCTCCGCCCACAGCAGGTTGAAGAATGCGATGTTTGCGAAACGTCTCTGACCAACTCTCCGGATTTGTATACCCTCAAGCCTCAACCCTCAACTCATGTTTTGTGGCTCATAGATTGGGGGCGGTAATCCGTGCGACCTTCCAGCAAATATAGACAGCTTGCGGACATGTGAGACTCTAGACCCCACAGGGTTTTGGCCACCTGCTTAGCCCTTAGGGCTTAGTATACGAGTGTGGGGCCTAGGGACGTTCTGTGGCGTGACGAATGCAAGCTGTGTCGCATCAGGAAGGTTTTTTTGTTATACCAGTGCTCAAAACGATGGAGTCGCAGATGCCGTGCCTTCCATCATGTTATGCTTGGTGGTTTCGACCCATGCCTATCATGCGATGAACAGGTCGTGCAACTATCTCAACTTCCGACATCGCGGTTCCGCGTGAAGAGTATGTAGCCAACCAGTTTCACCACAGGGCCCTATGGTTGGTGTGGCTTTCCTGGACGGCCTGTTCTCGGGCCCACGATGGGTGCGGGAAACTATCGCTGCAGCACGAAGGGCGCTTGCCAAAAAAAAGGGACCCCCTTACATACCCCAACATCTTCGAGCCCGTCTTTCAGGAACCCGAAAATAGGTACCCCTATTTGGCCCCTCCCCCCCCCCCCCCCCCCCCCCCCCCTTTTGCGAAGTTGTATCTCTTTGCAGAAGTTGCAGCCCCAAACCCTAAACCCTAAACCCTAATCCCTAAACCCTAGACCCTAAACCCTAAACAGTCTTTTCGGGGGCCTCTTGGACGATGGACTCGCTTTCAGCATCCAGGGCGCTGGTGGCTTCGTCCAGGACGAGGATCCTCGTTTTTCGGGCAAGGCCCCGAAGATATGAAGTAGGGTTTATATTTCTTGTATCCCCAAAAGTATATACACTCACCAATATTAAAAAGGAACCTTATTTACACTCACCAATAAGGGCAATATAAACCCTGTTTCATATCCCTATTGACCAGCAAAGGCCCATAACATGTATTTCTGCTTACGGTAATCATATTGAATAAGCTTACTATTGATTTAAATTAACACTATTTTTGACTAGTATTGTTGCTGATTAGTCTTGTTGTTGGTGGGTACTGTGATGATGCTCCTAAACAGTTACACCAGAAACAGCATCCTGCATCATGAAAATTCGCTTTTCGAGTGTGCCACCCCCACCCCCCCCACCCCCCCCCAACTCTCAAGTGACACCCGAAACCCTAAACCCTAAACCCTAAACTCTAAACCCTAAACGCTGCATCTGCAACATGAGATTCCTATGGAGGGCCCATGGAGGCCAGGGGCCTAAAAACCGATGGTTCAGCCCAGGACGGATTGGCTCCGGCCCACACCCCTATGAACCCTAAACCCCACTACCCCTTAAGCCTATTGACCCTAAACCCTAAACCCTACACCCTAAACCCCAAGGCCCCTGAGTCGGAAAAGTGGTGGCCCATGTAACTCCATGGTCGGGAGCGCTCGCGCCTGGGCTTCAGGAGGATGGCGCGGGCGACCGACAAGCGCTGCTTCTGCCCGCCCGACACCTGTCGTGGGTTTGGGATTTGGTTAAGGGTTTAGGGTTTAGGGTTTAGGGTTTGTTTGTTAAGGGTTTAGGGATGCCAGGGACGTTTAGGGTTTGGTTTAGGGATGTTCAGGGTCGAGGGGTGATTAGGGGCTTAGGGTTTAGGGGTTTATGGGTTTAGAAATGTTCAGAGGTCTTTGGGGGTGTCTGCAAGCAGAATTCAAAATTCCCTCGGCCTTTCGGCATCTTTCTGAAAGACATTTGGGGCCCTTCGCAAGGCAAGCCGTGCACGGCAACTCAGCGAGGGGGGGACCCTAAACCCTAAACCCTAAACCCTGAACCCTGAACCCTAAACCCTAAACCCTAAACCCTAAACCCTAAACCCTAAACCCTAAACCCTAAACCCTAAACCCTAAACCCTAAACCCTAAACCCTAAACCCTAAATTTTAGAGCTGCGCTAACTGCGCCAGTGAAGTTGGTTTCTTTTTTGGTTTGTCCTGAACTCTTTCTCCTTTCATATTTCTTCAATTTACTTAAACCCCTTTTAGGTCCATAGGTTCAATTTACCTAAAGCTCCCTAAACCCTAAACCCTAAACCCTAAACCCTAAACCTCTCCTACCATATAATTATAAACCTTAATGGTATTCGTGGGCAAGGCCCAAATATTCGTGGGCAAGGCCCAAAGATTCGTGGGCAAGGCCCAAATATTCGTGGGCAAGGCCCAAAATCCGGATTTTGGGCCTTGCCCACGAATTTTTGGGCCTTGCCCACGAATTTTTGGGCCTTGCCCACGAATTTCTGGGGTTGTTGGTTCGTGGGCAAGGCCCAAAAATTCGTGGGCAAGGCCCAAATATTCGTGGGCAAGGCCCAAATATTCGTGGGCAAGGCCCAAATATTCGTGGGCAAGGCCCAAATATTCGTGGGCAAGGCCCAAGTATTCGTGGGCAAGGCCCAAAAATTCGTGGGCAAGGCCCAAGGCCCACAATGCCCTTGAGACCCTAAACCGTTGAGCCCCTAAACCCTTGAGACCCTAAACACTTGAGACCCTAATTAGGGTTTCAGGGCCTCAAGGCCTGGCGAAGGCCCAAATATTCGTGGGCAAGGCCCAAATATTCGTGGGCAAGGCCCAAATATTCGTGGGCAAGGCCCAAGTATTCGTGGGCAAGGCCCAAAAATTCGTGGGCAAGGCCCAAGGCCCACAATGCCCTTGAGACCCTAAACCGTTGAGCCCCTAAACCCTTGAGACCCTAAACACTTGAGACCCTAATTAGGGTTTCAGGGCCTCAAGGCCTGGCGTTTAGGGTTTCAGGGCCTCAGGGTGGCCCCAAGGCATGGCGTTTAGGGTTTCAAGGCCTCAGGGCCTGTGTTTAGGGTTCCAGGGCCCAGCGTTTAGGGTTTCAAGGCTTCAGGGCCTGTGTTTAGGGTTTCAGGGCCTCAGGGCCTGTGTTTAGGGTTTCAGGGCCCAGCGTTTAGGGTTTCAAGGCCTCAAAGCCTGTGTTTAGGGTTTCAGGGCCTCAGGGCCTGTGTTTAGGGTTTCAGGGCCCAGCGTTTAGGGTTTCAAGGCTTCAGGGCCTGTGTTTAGGGTTTCAGGGCCTCAGGGCCTGTGTTTAGGGTTTCAGGGCCCAGCGTTTAGGGTTTCAAGGCCTCAGGGCCTGTGTTTAGGGTTTCAGGGCCTCAGGGCCTGTGTTTAGGGTTTCAGGGCCCAGCGTTTAGGGTTTCAAGGCCTCAGGGACTGTGTTTAGGGTTTCAGGGCCTCAGGGCCTGTGTTTAGGGTTTCAGGGCCCAGCGTTTGGGTTTCAAGGCTTCAGGGCCTGTGTTTAGGGTTTCAGGGCCCAGCGTTTAGGGTTTCAAGGCCTCAGGGCCTGTGTTTAGGGTTTCAGGGCCTCAGGGCCTGTGTTTAGGGTTTCAGGGCCCAGCGTTTAGGGTTTTCAAGGCCTCAAAGCCTGTGTTTAGGGTTTCAAGGCCTCAGGGCTTGTTTTTATGGTTTCAGGGCCCAGCGTTTAGGGTTTCAAGGCCTCAGGGCCTGTGTTTAGGGTTTCAGGGCCTCAGGGCCTCAGGGCCTGTGTTTAGGGTTTCAGGGCCCAGCGTTCACTCAAAGCCTGTGTTTAGGGTTTCAGAGCCTCAGGGCCTGTGTTTAGGGTTTCAGGGCCCAGCGTTTAGGGTTTCAAGGCTTCAGGGCCTGTGTTTAGGGTTTCAGGCGCGGGCCTGTGTTTAGGGCTTCAGGGCCCAGCGTTAGGGTTTCAAGGCCTCCAGGGCTGTGGTTTAGGGTATTCAAGGGGATCCGGGCCTGTGTTAGGGGTTCAGGGCCCAGCGTTTAGGGTTTCAAGGCCTCTGTGTTAGGTTTTCAGGGCCTCAGGGCCTGTGTTTAGGGTTTAGGCCCAGCGTTTAGGGTTTCAAGGCCTCAGGGCCTGTGTTTAGGGTTTCAGGGCCTCAGGGCCTGTGTTTAGGGTTTCAGGGCCCAACATTTAGGGTTTCAAGGCTTCAGGGCCTGTGTTTAGGGTTTCAGGGCCTCAGGGCCTGTGTTTAGGGTTTCAGGGCCCAGCGTTTAGGGTTTCAAGGCCTCAGGGCGGACTGTGTTTAGGGTTTCAGGGCCCCAGGGCCTGTGTTTAGGGTTTCAGGGCCCAGCGTTTAGGGTTTCAAGGCCTCAAAGCCTGTGTTTAGGGTTTCAGGGCCTCAGGGCCTGTGTTTAGGGTTTCAGGGCCCAGCGTTTAGGGTTTCAAGGCTTCAGGGCCTGTGTTTAGGGTTTCAGGGCCTCAGGGCTTGTGTTTAGGGTTTCAGGGCCCAGCGTTTAGGGTTTCAAGGCCTCAAAGCCTGTGTTTAGGGTTTCAGGGCCTCAGGGCCTGTGTTTAGGGTTTCAGGGTCCAGCGTTTAGGGTTTCAAGGCCTCAGGGCCTGTGTTTAGGGTTTCAGGGCCTCAGGGCCTGTGTTTAGGGTTTCAGGGCCCAGCGTTTAGGGTTTCAAGGCCTCAGGGCCTGTGTTTAGGGTTTCAGGGCCTCAGGGCCGGTGTTTAGGGTTTCAGGGCCCAGCGTTTAGGGTTTCAAGGCCTCAGGGCCTGTGTTTAGGGTTTCAGGGCCTCAGGGCCTGTGTTTAGGGTTTCCGGGCCCAGCGTTTAGGGTTTCAAGGCCTCAGGGCCTGTGTTTAGGGTTTCAGGGCCTCAGGGCCTGTGTTTAGGGTTTCAGGGCCCAGCGTTTAGGGTTTCAAGGCCTCAGGGCCTGTGTTTAGGGTTTCAGGGCCTCAGGGCCTGTGTTTAGGGTTTCAGGGCCCAGCCTTTAGGGTTTCAAGGCCTCAGGGCCTGTGTTTAGAGTTTCAGGGCCTCAGGGCTTGTTTTTATGGTTTCAGGGCCCAGCGTTTAGGGTTTCAAGGCCTCAGGGCCTGTGTTTAGGGTTTCAGGGCCTCAGGGCCTCAGGGCCTGTGTTTAGGGTTTCAGGGCCCAGCGTTTAGGGTTTCAAGGCCTCAAAGCCTGTGTTTAGGGTTTCAAGGCCTCAACGTCGTGTCTTTTCAAGTTTCAGGGTTTTTCAAGGCTTTTCAATGTTTTTTTAAAGTTTTTTCCATGTTTCTTCGGGTTTTTTCAGGGTTTTTCTGAGGAAGGGCTGCCCCCGCGACCTTTTCACAGCCTAATTTCGGTCAAGGGGGGGTCGTATTTTTGAATTTTAAAGGCAAAATAGTCTTTGGAGACCCTCCTTGCCTCAAACTCCGACCCCCCCTTGAGAGGGAAAGTTTGCCTCAAAAAACACCCCAAAAGGGACCTCAGGCTTGGCCTAGACCCGCAATGAAAATGCGAATTTTTAGTACTGAAATCGAGGGTTCTGGGTGGCCTCTCGTTTTCTGGGTTTTTGTGTTTTTCAAGTTTTGCAAGACTTTTCCGCGACCTTTTTCATAATGATTTTGGTCAGGGGGGAGGGGGGTCATTTTTCGATTTTAAAGGCAAAATAATCTTCAGAGACCCCCCCTTGCCTCGAACTCCGACCCCCCCCATGAGCGAAAATTTGCTACCCCAAATGGGGGGGACCCCAGGCTTTTTTTTCCTTCTTTTTTCCTTCGTTTTTTCATTTTTTAACATTTTTTCAAGGTTTGAGCCTCAGTTTAGGATTTCAAGACCTCAAAGCCTCGCGTGGTTTAGTATCTCCACCTCCTCGTTTGTTAGGTGGAAGTCATTCATTTTGTTATTGAACCATCCAAAAAAAAGAAGAAATTTTTTATTTCTTAATGTTATGGGAACTTCGGGTGGGTGGGTATTTTTCGATGTTCTAAACACAGAGCCTAAACGAGAAACTGCTCGACCAGGAGCTCTTAAACCCTAAACCCTAAACCCTAAACCCTAAACCCTAAACCCTAAACCCTAAACCCTAAACCCTAAACCCTAAACCCTAAGCAGCTCTGGAAGCCCGGGCCTTGAAAATGGAAGCACCACGCTGTTTGAATGTTTAAGGGGGTATAAGGAGGGACCCCTCAGTCTTAATCCCCTATATAACTATATAACTATATAACCCATATATGTATATATGCCTTCCATAGTCCCTATGTACCTATATAACTATAGAACCCATATATATATATATATATATCCCACATGAACTCGGGACTATATTTCTTGTACCCCCCCAAAAGGACACCCAAGGTATACACTCACCGATCTTAAACAAGGAACCTTATATGCACTCACCAATAACAGAAATATCAATATAAACCTTGCTTCATATAACCCTATATGTATACATATATATGTATATATATATATGTATGTATGTATATGCTACCCCTCCCCACCATTGACCTATGCGTTTTTGGTGTTTTCGGAAATGCTGGTGAGCATGCGGCATCTGAGACGCCTTTTTTTCCGAAGAAGCGGACATATTGCTACCCTCCCCCCCCAGCGACCTAACCTTTTTAGGCCTTTTTAACAAAAAAGAACAACGAAGGCCCAACATCGCGTACTTAATCATCGGGTAATAAAGGACAGCTATTTGGACACCCACCTCACAGATCCCGATAAGCCCGCATTCTATGCAAAATGTGCGTTTAACGGGCACATAATGTTTTGTTGAGCAACCAACGTATTCATACAATTGTGTTTGTACGAGGCAAAGTATTAATCAAATACTATCTGAAAAGTCCACTGAAATACCTTATGTTTACATATTCATGAAACATTTTTATCTTGAAGAAATCATTCTGTGCGAGTTTAATTACTAGAGCAATCATTAAGCAAAATAGCCGACTCAAGTGAAGACTAGTTAAAGGACCATACTCAACCAAAATTTAGCAACGTGTGCGCTTAAAGGGCTGATGATGTTTTGTTGAGCAGCTAATGTATTTATCAAAGTATTAATCAAATACTATCTGAAAAGTCCACTGAAATACCTTATGTCTCCGTATTCATGAGACATTTTTTAGTTTGAGATAATCATTCTATGCGAATTTAACTACTAGAGCAACTATTAAGCAAATAGCCCAATTTGACTCAAGTGACTACTAGGTAACGGACCATACTCAACCAAAGTACGAAATAAACACTAACGGAAATGGAGGCGGTTCTACTTACATAACAATGAAACAAAGTTTTCCGAAGTATTCAATAAAGACCACTTGTATACTATGTCTGAAAAGCACAATTTGCTTAAGCAAGCTTAAAAATGCACAATAATACCAGAGAAGTACTTAGTGGAGGCCATACACAAGCAAATTCGCAAATACAAAAAACATCCAAAAGCGCAAGCGTTTCAGGAGAATCTCTGGTGAAGTTTGGATTGTAAGGTTTTGGAGTATCCCTGGACGAGTAGGAGTCACTTTTTAAGCAAACAATTCTACGTGAGCAGTAAATGCTTCTTCTCAAGACAAGTATTGCAAATGCTTCTTCTAGATAATTATTGCTTTTACTAGGCAAGCATTATCTATGCGAATTTAGCTACCAGAGCACCAAGTAATGGCTGAATAAGGTCTGATACGCTTGAGTACAACCGAAAGGTGCACTAAACACTAGTTGAAATAGAAGCGAAGCACAAAACAAAAAAACTCTGAAGCACTTAAACTCTGAAAAGCACAATTTGCATAAGCACACTTAAACATGCGTAGGTATTGCCTCGTAACGGCAAACCAAAAAACCAAAATACAAAAAACCCAAAAAACCAAAACCAAGAAAACCAAAAAAAACAACTTTCCGGAACTATTGGAAAAGCCCCATAGGGATTACTGAGAGTTCCAGAAACTTGGTTTTTTTGGCTGTGTTTTTTTTGGTTTGGGTGCTTTTTTGGTTTTTTTGGTTTTGGCATTTTTGGTTTCTTCTACCGTCCCGTGTATTCGGATTTTAGCTATGTTTTAGTCTACGCTCTAGGAAATACGCTATATTGCACACTGAGTTTGCTTGCAGTGCAGCTGGGTGACTTGAGACAAGGCGAAAACGGATAGGTCGCTGGGCGGGGGGTGGGGGTGACAGAAAGGAAAGAAAAGGCATAGCTCAATGGGGGTGGGGGGTACATATATATATATAATATATATGCCTTATATAGTCCCTATATATATATATATGTATATATATATATATAGACACCCTATGTACCTAATAGCCCCTAGACAAGTTCAGGGTCCCTTAGAAGGTTCCCTCCTTCAGTTCCTTGAACTGCCAGCTTAGAACCGAAGAAACCCTACGAGCTCTTCTGTGAGGGAAGAAGTGATCGTGGCCTGGCCACCCCGATCCCCGACGTTGGTGTCGTAGCCACCGGGGAAGCCCATGATGAAGTCCTCAGGTGAAACGTTCGTGAGGGTGATGAAGCAGCCTTTAATCTAGGATGCCGTCCCAATCCTAGAACATGCCAAGCCTACAAATGGGCCCAAAACCCCTCGACGCGACAAACCCTAAACTCTAAACCCTAAACCCTAAACCCTAGACCCTCAACCCTAGACCCTCAACCCTAAACCCAATCCCTACACAGCGCCCAGCGTCATGTGCACAAGCTGCCTTTGCAGCTTCGATGACTTGCTCCTCGAAGTCCTGGCTTCTCCCTGCTAAAGTTTAGGGTTTAGGGTTTACGGTTTTAGGGTTTAGGGTTTTAGGGTTTAGGGTTTAGGGAAAAGATTGTACAGAAGTCGTACTTAAGCAGATATGGGAGTTTACGAAAATAGGGGTACCTTACTGGGGTCCTTCTTGCAAGGGGATCCTACTTTGCGGGGGTCTAGAATAGGGGTCCCTTATTATCGTGAACCGACATATCCAAACATCACGGGCAACGATCCGCTCCGAAGCCCTGAGCAGTTCCTTGGGATCGGAGTCGATGCGGCAGTGCGGCAAGCCATACCTCCCCGGACACCCCCTTGTTTGGGAGAAAGAAGTAGGGGCTTCTTTGAACTCCTACACCGTAAGCCCGAAGCCCTAAGCCCTGAACCCAAAAACCATTGAACTCTCAACCCTCGAACATTTACAAGCCGAGAGTGAAAACACCCCTGCGACATCCAAGCAATGAGTCCCCGCTCGACATCCACAACATGTTGCACTTCAGCCGCCACATCCCGAACATCACGACCCTCAACCCTCAAACCCAATCCCCAATCCGCAAACCCCAAACCCTAAACCCTAGCCCAGGAGCAGCAAGTTTTGCCGCACGGAGGTGTTGAAAAGCACGGGCTCCTGTGCAACGAGCGCCTCGGCTGAGGATGCTTTTGGCAGACTTCGGGGGGGGGGGGAGGTAAGGTTAGGGTTAGGGTTAAGGGTGAAGGGTTTTTTTTTGCCACCTGCCAGCTGACACTCAGGCCACATTGAATGACTAATGCCGGCAATACTGCTTCTCGTCGGATAAATTTGGGCGCTTTCAATTTTTCTTTCTTCTGCGCACATAGTAACTCTCCAGAAAGATGGCCACTTCTGCCAGGAGTTGGTCGATGTTCATAAGGCCACCTCAAGTTTGCGAAGTCGGTTGTGGGGTGCCGCATCGGAAGGCTGCTCCTTCGATCCTTGGCACGACTCTTGCGTGTGGCGCTGGTGTAGGCCACAGCAGGTGAACATGGCAAGGTAGCGGCGGGAGAAGCCGTCTGCGCCTCGGCCAGTGCCTTGTCCGGCTTGGGCGGCGGGGCCAACAGCGTGCCGGCAGCGGACTGGATGCCAAGAACTCTCTCTGTAGACAAAGGCTGACAAAGGAGAAACACGAAAGCCTGGAGGCACAGATGACGCGCGCGGTGGTGCTGGCTCACGCAGCTCTGTCAAGTCTGCCACTTGGGTGGCAGCCTCCTCCCTGCGAGCTGCATCGGCAGCGGCAGCCTCTTGCGCGCCCCTCTGCTCCTGCTAACAGTCCTTTCCGGAAATCATCGCCTCGGACACCTCCAAGAGCAGCAAGGCCAGTCAACCCAAGCGACGGCACACTGTAGATTGCTTGAGCCAAAATGGCTACGGTTCAGGGCTTAGGGCTTAGGGTTTAGGGTTTAGGGTTTAGAGTTTAGGGGTGGGTTTAGGGCTGGTGGACTTGTGGACGCTCTACCACTAGAAACATACCCCAAGCTGGGTTACATACATACATACATACATACATAGATACATACATACTTAGCCCTAAACTTAAACCCTAAAGCCTAAACCCTATCATGACAGTGCACAGCCCCAGCATAAGGCCAGAGCAGATCGAAGAGGCGCGCAATGGGCGAGCTTGGGGGCATCTTGTATTTCGGCCCCTTCACTCCCCATATCACTCCTTCCTGTCGCTAAGCAACCTGACTTCCGAACTCCCTAGTGTAGCCATGTGCAGCCAGGCTGCAGCCATGTGTATCCCTTTGGGATGTTGCCCCTTGTACTCACAGCCCTTAACGGGGATTACCATTCAGGAACCGTTAGAAGGGGGAACGTCCCAAGACATATCCCTTTAAGGGGCCTCTTGCAGGGCCAAGTGCCATGTGCCGATGTAGGTGTGTCAGGTCCCAGTCTTTCATCGGGACTCCATCAATCAGAATGGTGCCAGCCATGGGGTCATAGTACCGGAAGATGAGCTGCCTGGGCTTCTCCACTCTGAGCTTTTTTGGGCAAACTCGACGGAAGGTGGCACACCCAGATACACCCCTTTCTTCCCCCCAAAAGCTCTGTGAGCCTCTCTTGGCGCCGGGTCTCACTGAGGTACTTTTTCCCGACCCGGAGGCGCCAACGAGAGCCGTGGTCTTCCCAGGCTGCAGCTCCATGGAGAGCTCGTGGAGCACCTTCCTTGGAGACAAGGGCTTGGGAGAGCTGATCCGTCTCCAGGGAGAGCCCCTCTTAATTAAGTTAAATATGATGATGATGATGCCTATTATTATTGTTTTTGATGATAATTATTATTTTTGATTTATTTTGTTTCCCTTCCTGAAGAGACTTCTAAGTGGCTTTTTCGGGGGGAAGTAAAAGGAATCACCTCCCTTCTCTGCGGTACAACGGATGGCACGGACAGCTGCCCAAGCTGAGTATACATTTGTATGCCATGTTTACAATATCCAGTGGTCTGTCTGTGCGAAGTGTCCAAATCAAGGAAAACTTGCGCGTCGAAGAACTGAAAAACTGTGTCCACTATTCCGGTTGATCAGACCCAAGTAGACAAGGAAGTTGGTTATTTACAGTTGTGAGGTGTTAAGTTGCTCCAGAAGTAACAGTATCCCTGTCAACGGGGAACACGAGGTAGCTAGCCAAGTATTCCAAGCCACTCCCGACGTTAACTATCGGAAGGATCCCCAAAGTTGCTATCTCCAGGGGGTGGTAACCTATCGTTCAAGATGTATCCACTAGCCGTCCGGCTGCGTGTTGTACACCTATCCCAATATTCACCTGGACAGCCACCTATCCTCAGTATCCTCCGGCCTCCGGCTATGAGTTGTAAAGAGAACAGATAACTATCCCAAGGGTTAGGGAAAAGGATCTATCCCTCGTCGACGCCCGATCGTTTTAGCTCCTCTGGCCTCCGGCTGCGAGTTGGCTAAGCGGATCCACCACGTACAGGGACACTATCCACGGGGGCAAAACTGTACAAGTTGGGCGCAGCTACACGGACGAAGTCAAGAAACAAACAAAAGAGAAAGGTGAATGAATGTACAGTGTGCTTATGTTGCTGTCTTGTTGCCCTGCAAGCCCAGACAGCAACAGCACACGAAATTCTATCCAGGCCCCTCCATCTATCCCAAGGCTCAGTGCGCTATTCCGGCTCGTCCGCGAGGAGGTCGACATCTATCCCGGAGCAAACCCGAAATCAACTGACATCAAAACAATTGCCCCCCCGAAAGTACCTGAAAGACGTGGTGCGAAACACCCCCCGTGATGGGGGCGTCAGCTCGCAGAGTGACGTCTCCCAGCATAAACGATGAATTCGCGAATCCTCGTCCGGTTTGCATCAGACCTTCAACACAAACGCAGGAGGGATCGCCAGCACGGTCTCCAGCCCCTTTGAGGCGCCCACCACCACCCGCGATTACGAAGACCACATCGGCGACCCTCGGAAGCAACACCGTCATCCGCAAACCTTCGGAATCATCGTCTGAGCACACACGTCTTCGACGGTGCCCTAATACATGCACCCAAGATGTTTGCTAATCCGCATCATTGGAAAATTGGTCACTCATCTTCTATCCCCTTACGCCGAAACTCAGTTCATCTCGTCCAGGCACTATCCCTTGCAACATCGGCCCTTTCACTTGGTTCAGTACCCCTCCTAGACGATGTAGCCCTTTCTTTTGCAGGAGGGACTTAATGGTGGCCAGCCATGCCCACAGAAGCTGTCTGACGAGGGCCGAGAGGACTTACTGGTGATCAGCCACGCCCCTCCACTCACAAGCAGTAACCTTCGTCATTGGTTGGTCTGCGCCCGTCAGGGAACGCCCATAAGGCCAGCTGCTCGCAGTTGAAGCAGTAGCTGCGTCGCTCCCACTCATCTCACCCAGCGCCTTCTTTACGTACATGTCCTCGACGAATATATCCCCTATCCGGAAAGTCCTATCCCAGGCTTGGCTCACGCGACGAAGCAGAGCCGCGGAGGACAGCGGGCCATGGCAATCCTAACCGCTGCATCACTCCATGCGCTAGGGGCATGACTTTGCATGCGCCCTGCAGATCTATCCCTTGCCACGCCACCTCGTCCAACGACGTGAGGAGCCATCCCACGCACATCAGCAGACGTGACGCCGTTAATGGTGGCAGACGTCTTCCTTCTTCTCGTCGTGGTTTCTCTCGTCCAAGTGCGTCGCAACGGCGGGCACCTACTCCCACTGATAGTCGCCGCTCTGGCCGCGAGGACTTATTGGTGATCAGCCATGCCTCCGCTGCCGTGCACGCTCCGTCTCGCAGCAACATTGTCTCCGCATTCTGCAGATTTGCCATACACTGCGTTGTTATGTTCGTAGACATCGAACAGCCTCCCGTCCGGAACGTTGACCATCATGCATTGGCAGGCAGGCTCACGGCTAATCCTTCCCTCTATCCCCCCGGCCACCGGTCGTCACGTAGATGTTCGTCAGCATTTTCCTTTGCCAGCTTCCGGTTCACATGCATAGTAACATGTACTCCCCCCCGCGCACCGTATTCAGCCTCGACGTGTAATCCCTTCACTCGTGTCGTAATCTCCATGTAGTACTACGCATTTCTATCCACTCCCCCCGGCTCGCAGATACCGTGGTGACATAGACAATGTCATAGTTGTCCTTTCCCCCCTGTGCCGGTGGTCTTTGCGTTGACGCATACATTTTCCTAGATATCGTAACTATCCCGTTTCTATACGAGCGAACTATCCGTAGACGAACTCAAACTCATAGAAAGCTCCCCCCGGCTTGTGGGCACCGCGTGGACATACACAACGTCACACATATCCCTCCGCCCCCCGGATGTCGACCAACAAAACCACACCTATGTCCTTTCTATCCCAGGCGTACTGCATTAAGATGTACAAGATTAACAATACGTCGTAGTCCTATCCCTATTCCGGAAGAGTCGGGCCTATCCCCTATACGTGTTCCTCATGCTCACAACGCTGCGAAATATCCCCTTGAGGTTGCCGTCCGCGAAGCTCACCATGCACCATACTCCCTTTGCCTTTCTGAGACGAGGTCCGACTGCTGGGCGCCAAACGTCAAGACCGGCAACGGTGTATTTAGTACGCCTTGTATCCCATCCCGGGCCAGAACAGTGAAGTAGAGGACGCGAAGCTCCGATGCCTGTATCCCTCGGGGTCGAAACAGTGAAGTAAGGGACGTGAAGCTCCGCTATCTGTATCCCTTCGGGACCAAAACAGTGAAGTAAGGGACGTGAAGCTCCGATCTGTATCCCTTCGGGACCAAAACAGTGAAGTAAGGGACGTGAAGCTCCGCTATCTGTATCCCTTCGGGACCCAAAACAGTGAAGTAAGGGACGTGAAGCTCCGCTATCTGTATCCCTTCGGGACCAAAACAGTGAAGTAAGGGACGTGAAGCTCCGCTATCTGTATCCCTTCGGGACCCAAAACAGTGAAGTAAGGGACGTGAAGCTCCGATCTGTATCCCTTCGGGACCAAAACAGTGAAGTAAGGGACGTGAAGCTCCGCTATCTGTATCCCTTCGGGACCCAAAACAGTGAAGTAAGGGACGTGAAGCTCCGCTATCTGTGTCCCTTCGGGACCAAAACAGTGAAGTAAGGGACGTGAAGCTCCGCTATCTGTATCCCTTCGGGACCAAAACAGTGAAGTAATGGACGTGAAGCGCTGGTACTTCTATTCCTTCGGGAAGGTTTGAGCAGCAAAGATCTCCACTCTGTATTCCCTGCAGGTATCACAGGCCCTCCACTCTGCAGTTCCTGCTTGAAGGATCCGGGCAGCAAATATCTCCAGTTCGTATCCCTGCAGACAGAGAAGCCCTCCACCCTGCACTCCCTGCGTGCTTGCAGGATCCGGCCAGCGAAGATCTCCACTCCGTATTCCCTGCAGGCAGAGAAGCCCTCCGCCCTGCACTCCCTGCTTGCTTGCAGGATCCGGCCAGCGAAGATCTCCGCTCCGTATTCCCTTCAGATCCATGAGAAGCGTCGGGTAGCAAAGCCCCCCGCGTGCCTTTCTGCAACTCGATGACTTTTCCTGGTAGCCGCTGATGTTCCGGCTGCTTCGTGTTGGGCAGGCAGCGGCCCGCTATGACACTCCAACTGATATAGCCCCGGCGCACGGTCATCAAGTCGACGATGGCTATCACCACTATCCCTCCCCTTTGCGACGCCGTATCCGCCCTCCAGCCACATCCTGACTCGATGGATTTCCCTTGCTGCCACATCCTGACTCGATGGATTTCCCTTGCTCCCAAATCTTGACTCTATGGCAATCACACATTTTCCTTGCACATATACTCCCGACATGCAAATTCCGCCACAAATCGTACATGAGGAGCCCGCACTATCCCCCTGCAAGCAAGACTTGATGATATCGCCACTCTTCTATCTTCGCCATCTTGTCCTTGTCATCCGTCCGCTCGTTTCGATATGCCATTCACTATCCAAGCCCCCATCTCCCTTGGCCACCCGAGCACGTGTACATCACAATGTGCCTGCCGATGTGTCAATGTGCAGAACCGCGTCCGGGGCCAACCTCCCTGATAATCAAAGCAAACATTAGGCTCGTAGGGCATTCGCCAGACCGCTCATTCCACGCCACTGCCACACACGCGTCATCATCTTCATCATGAGCATCTCATCTGTTCGAATCCTATGTATCTCCCCCCCGTGTCCCGGGCAAACCCCCCAATAAGCAGGACCTGAATCTATCCCGTTCGCTCATGCTTCGCTTCCACTCTATCGAGCTAACCCCCCAATAAGCAAGACCTGAATCTATCCCGTCCGCTCAGGCTTCACTTTCACTCTATCCCGTCCGATCGCCAAAACGACTCAGAGTACCTCGAGTCCGTCCGGTCATATCTTCGGGCGATCCAGGCTTATCGCAGAAGTGTCTAGGCTTCTCCCAGATGTGTCCCAGGCCTGTAAATTGACTATTCCGGCCATCCAGATGTATTCCGAAACTATCCACCGGCATCCCAGAGACGTCGAAGGTTCCCGACGCCTCAGTTGCATCCCTTGTCTGTAATCATCCTATTCCCGTGCGAGCTTCAAGCCACCACCAAGCGTACTGACCGGGCTTCCGCGTCTCCCCGTTCTCAAACATCAATGCGCCGTTCGCCACGTCCGCCTGCATTCCCCGGAACATTCTGGGCGTGAATCTTGATCCAGCTCGCGCCTTCATTCCGTCGACGATTTCTCTCTCGTTGTTCACTGGTCTCCAGAGACTGGGATCTGATAGTTGTCGTCGATGTTGGTTATAACCCCTCTTGTGGTTCGGAGTTTTGCGACACTCATCCGCAGCATGGGATATAATCCTCCTCGAAATCCCGCTCGAACCCCTATCCCGAGTTTTGGGATACCCCCCCGCAACATTGGACGTACTCCTCAGCGAAGCCCTGCTCGAATCCCTATCCCAAGACACCCCCCGTTCGAGTTGGGCGAGCTGCGTGACGAAGTCCTCAGTGGAATCAATTGTTTGCTGATCTCTGGGCGGGACGAGCGCTGCAATGAGGTCGCCCTCTGGATTAGGGTAAAAACGTTCCCTATCCCTGTTCGCGGCGCAGCGTTCTCTGACATCTGTGTAGTCTATGTTCCTAGCGGACACGGCATATTCCCGGGTAGCCTCAGGGTTGCGGCCCGCCCCTGGCAGAGAGATGCTGTGCCCAATCTTCCATGTACTGGTAGTTTTGGTCCGCCCTCCACTCCTCTATTCTTTTCTTGATTCTATCATATAACCAAGAGTGTGTTTTACCCTCTGCCGGTCTCTTCCTCCAGGCCTCGATGTCATGGTTCAAGAACGAAAGGTGCCGCACCTTACTATGCAGGATATCCCCCAGTTGCTCATCGGACCATGTGCCTCGCCCCGTCGCTTCAACCCGCACGCGCACACTATCCCATTTGTCCATGAAAACGTCCAGACTATCCACCTCGCATTGACCTGAGTATTTCTCACACGCAGTACAAGACAAGGCCTCGTTCAACACCTCCTGCTCCCTATTGGGAGAAACGCTGTAAAATCTCACCACCATGTTTAGTAGCCTCATAGCCGACATTGTCTCTCGCCCAACCGTTCGCTTGAACATCTCCCCCTGCACTTTACTGGCCAGACTCGTTGATTTGATCATATTCCGCAGCCCTTCCCATAGCTTGTTTTCCAACGCCGCATACTTCAATGGTCTATCCAATTCGCTTTCACTCATATCCCTAACACGCAGAATCGTGGAGTATCCGTACTCCCCGTCGTAAATGTACGCGCTTTTCACCGCCCGGGCCACTTCCCCAAGCCACGTGTGTAGATTCGCCGGATTGGGCTCCTTAGGAAGGATCATATCAAAGCACTGGTATACTATCCCTAGATACTCCCGTCGCCTCAACTCAGGATCAACGCCACCATGACCGTCTCCACACTGTAGTGCCTGACGCATTCTACGCTGCTCTTCGCACGTCTTTTCCACTTCAGCTACTCTATACCGCATTGCGCTCATCTCCGCCTCGATGTTGTTCCGTTTTGTTGCCGCATCTATCCGTTCAGTGAGCTCCGTGATGAGACCCTCCTGCGTCTCCTGCATGGTCCTGAGCCGCGCGTTCTCGTTCTCGAGCTGTTCGTTTCTTCTCTGCGTTTGGGTTTTATACTCCCTCCATTCGCCCTTGTCCGCCGCATTCTCGTTTTGCATCTTCGCTATCGATTCACGCATCTCCTGAACCATGACTTCCAACTCTTTGATCCTCACGGATGCAACGAATGTTTTTGCGTCCTTCGCCTGCTGATCCCGCACACGCCGAAGCATCTTGGCCATCTCCGCGACATTTGCCTCTATTCCATCAATCCTCCCAGCGATCCTGACACATGCGCTCCGCGCCCCATCGTCAGCGCAATTGTTGTCAGTTCTATCAGTGCTCCTCGCGATATTCCCGCGGTCCCGACTACTGTATTCTACCACGCGTAATCTATCCCTCAGCTGCTTGTTCTCGTCCATGATTTCCGCATATTCCTTGCCCATCTTCTCAATCAGCTTTTCCGTGGCATCAACTCTCCCCTTCACGGTGCCTATATCACTCGTCATCCCATTGATACTCTCACGAATCTGTTGCAGAGGCTCCGCGATGTTCTTCGACATCGATACATCCATCGTCCCTTTCATTTGCTTGAGTTCGCCCGCGACAAACCTCACACGAGAACTCATCCTGTCAACGCTTTTCGCTATCTCTTTAAACTCGTCCCGCTCAACATGATTGGCGCTTTCGCTCGCCTCTCCGCGCTCGCGGCCCAATGGTTCCACAGCCTTTGTCAACTCCTCTCTAATCCAGCTCCGTAGATCCCGAATGCTATCATTCAATTGCCGTTGCACATTGCGTTCGACATCAATCATCTCGGCACGTTGGGTTCTGGACTTCTCTTCAACCTCATCCAATCTATCGTGGAGCCTCCTGAGCCCATCCCGTATCTCGTCATTCATCTCCGTGGTCGCGTTCCTGATGTCTATAGTCACTCCTTCTATCGCATCAACTCTGCCCTCACACCCTTCATATTCCGATATTCCATTTCCCCTTGCGGCGGCATCATGTGATATCCCGTTCGGGGGTTGCGGGGGAGGGGTACTTATCGTATATTCCATCTTCTTGGCCCTCGTCCCAGCATCAATCTTTGGTGACCTTGCTATGTCCGAAGATCCTTGGCTGATGTCTCCTATTCTCCCATTTAGCGGCGCGTTCCCATTCAGTCTATCCAACCCTATCCCAACGTCGACTGCACCACCTTCTGGACCGGCCGAATGTTTCGTCCTATTCCCTGTCCCCTGGCGTTGTTCCACTCTTCGACCCTCAAGAAATGCCAACATCACGTCACTGCTGTGGTCGATGCTATTCCACCCAATGCTCAATCCTGCGTTCCTCGCTCCGAGCTCTATCCCCTTTGCGCCACCCATACTCCCCAGCCCTATCCCATCGCCACCACTTCGATCATTGCCCCACTCGTCCACATTGGCGATGGTCTGCTCCTTCTTCTTCGGCCCGTCAAGTCGTCCCGAGACCTCTCTGGTCTCTTGAGGGAAGTTTGAGCCAGGTCGTCCCGAGACCTCTCTGGGCTCTTGAGGGAATTTTGGGCCAGGTCGTCCCGAGACCTCTCTGGACTCTTGAGGGAAGTTTGAGCCAGGTCGTCCCGAGACCTCTCTGGGCTCTCCAGGGATTTTTGGGCCATGTTGTTCCGAGTCTATCCCCACCCTCATGATCCTTTCAACGCGTTCATCTCGCATATCTCCCAGCTCCGCCGCCGCATCACTTCTACGAATATCCCCATGAACTCGCGCATCGTGTCCATCAAGACCTTGAGGATCCTTCACCCATCGATCGGCGCAACTATCCCCATGAACTCGCGCACCTATCCCAAGAGTATCCCGATCTCCGCCGTCTCCATCAGGACCAAAAGGATCCCATCTATCAACTCCATTGTTTGCTATCCCAACATCATCCGATCTCCGAGCATATCCCAAGTCGCTCCGTCCATGATGCGATTCCTCCAGGCAGCCGTCTCCGGCTAACATATCTTCCTCGACAACCCCGCCAAAAACACTCGAAGGCCCTGATATCCCATCATCCGCCCTAGGAGTCGTTCCATCTGAAAGGCTCAGATCCCATGGTCCTCCTCGTTCCTGACTATCCCCAATGCCTGACAAGTCAAACGCTTTGTCGTCCCCGCTCGCATTCTTCCCAAGTCCATCTCCATCTCCAGCGCACCCATCGTACATTCCGTTCCCTATTCCTGCGGGGGTGCATCCACTCCCCACATGTCTATCCCGACCCAAATCCATATATCCCTCTCGTGCCCGCTCGTCGTTCCACATGTCCGTCATGACGTTGAACTATCCTCGCCTCGCCTTCGGCTCAGTCGGTACAGAAACTACAAGGCTCTTAACCTGTGCGAAGTGTCCAAATCAAGGAAAACTTGCGCGTCGAAGAACTGAAAAACTGTGTCCACTATTCCGGTTGATCAGACCCAAGTAGACAAGGAAGTTGGTTATTTACGGTTGTGAGGTGTTAAGTTGCTCCAGAAGTAACAGTATCCCTGTCAACGGGGAACACGAGGTAGCTAGCCAAGTATTCCAAGCCACTCCCGACGTTAACTATCGGAAGGATCCCCAAAGTTGCTATCTCCAGGGGGTGGTAACCTATCGTTCAAGATGTATCCACTAGCCGTCCGGCTGCGTGTTGTACACCTATCCCAATATTCACCTGGACAGCCACCTATCCTCAGTATCCTCCGGCCTCCGGCTATGAGTTGTAAAGAGAACAGATAACTATCCCAAGGGTTAGGGAAAAGGATCTATCCCTCGTCGACGCCCGATCGTTTTAGCTCCTCTGGCCTCCGGCTGCGAGTTGGCTAAGCGGATCCACCACGTACAGGGACACTATCCACTGGGGCAAAACTGTACAAGTGGGGCGCAGCTACACGGACGAAGTCAAGAAACAAACAAAAGAGAAAGGTGAATGAATGTACAGTGTGCTTATGTTGCTGTCTTGTTGCCCTGTAAGCCCAGACAGCAACAGCACACGAAATTCTATCCAGGCCCCTCCATCTATCCCAAGGCTCAGTGCGCTATTCCGGCTCGTCCGCGAGGAGGTCGACATCTATCCCGGAGCAAACCCGAAATCAACTGACATCAAAACAATTGCCCCCCCGAAAGTACCTGAAAGACGTGGTGCGAAACACTGTCTAGTAGTCTAAGGAACTTGGCTGACTTCTGAACCCCTCCAAAAAGCTTAACTTTTAGGCTCCTTATTGTAGTTTCTACAAAAACCCAAGAAGTTAAAGCCCTAAGAGCCAGCCAGAAGAAAGCTAAGTCGGAATGCATCACAAGGGTCTGCTCTGGCCTCGTGGGGTAGGCAAATGACACATCCTGTCGTGGGAGATGGGACTGAAGCTTAGCGGGTTTGCGGGGCCGTAGAACTAAACCCTAAACCCTAAACCCTAAACCCTAAACCCTAAACCCTGGAGGCACGGGAGCCCAGTCCGATTCGAAAGGCATCTCAGCAAAGGGAGCATACATGCCTTCGTGGAAGGCGGGCCTGTGCTTGTGTTTCTTTCCTCTTACTGTTGGTTAGTAGGGAATGGGGGAATAAGGTACCACATATCCCCTATATACCCTTCAAGGGATTGTATATGGTACCTTATTCCCCCATTCCCTACTGACCAACAGCAATTCCTTCCTCTCTCTCTGTGCGTGGGGCGTGGGCGCGTGGGCGTCTGCAAGTGTGGAACTACAATTGGGCCAGCGCGTCCTGGAACTCCACCTGTCCGCTCACTGGGCCATCATAGGTGCCTGGGCATGCGTGACTGGACGACTCGCTCTCCTACAGGACCCTACGGTTTTCTTATGGCGACCCACAGCCCAGGGGAAAATGGCAGACTTCGACCCAGCAAAAGCCCCAAACCATTCCGAAGTCTGAACCTATAGAGGCAGATTGAATTTTGTGTCTTGAGGGCGTTTGCAAGTACGACTAATCGGTACTGATCTGACTTATCTGATTTGAACTGTGGTACTTTATAAATGCCGGGATTATGAGGGCGCATGAACTGGTCAGCCTTTACTCCCCCTGCGCTACATCCCCCACGGGGCCTGGGAAAATCTTCGGCTGCTGATCTAAGAACTCGAAATGCTCGGCTAGGTTGTCGCTGCGGTTGAAGACGTCCTTCGCGTGCGCCGCCGCGGCTTACTCACATCTTTGGGGAGTCTCCGGGTCATACCTATATTATACTCCCCTCAGAACCTCAATAAAAATAATATTTTTATTATACACATAATAATAATTCCCAAGGGGGATATAGATACTACGGACTTACTCTTAAAGCACTTTACAGGCACCCCTCCCAGCATGCGCAAAATGTGCTGGCTAAGGAACCTTCTTAGGATGGCGATGGTCCCGGGAAAAATGCAAAGGACCGTGTCTGGGAGCCCTGTGTTGCGCTGTATCGCGGGACGCTTTTCGGCAACCCCTTATACCAGGATGGGCTATTTTGCATTAAAACCCATAATGAGCCCTATCAAGGCCCCTTATCCTGGTAGGCCATTGCCCCATGCACAATGGCGCAAAGCCACTGTGAAGGAGACACTCCCTCCCTGCAACCCCGAACGGCAACGTCACACTTGAGATCTGGTGTGCTCCTCGACTTGGGCTTTGAAGCTGTTGACCTTTGATCCGGAGTTGTGCTTAAAACCCTTCGGGGTTTGCTTGGGGGTGCTTTGGCCTTGAACGCACGGAACCTGGTCACATAACCCTGATGGTGACTACAAGTGGAAGTGGCTTGACAAACGACACGCTCTACACATGTCTAAGCGTCCAGGCAGCAGCAACAACCCAACAAAGTGGCCCGAAAGCCTGCGTTCAATCTTAAGATCCGTCCGGCCACTTGGTGTCCAAGCTTGCTCACCAACAGCCTCAGATCTTGGTTCTAAAGTAAGTCTACCAGCAGCCTACGAGAAAATGAGGGGCGGGGGGCCTGTATTGTTTCACCTAGAGAGAGTCGGGAGTAAGAGCCCAAGAAAGCGTGTGACGACTCACGCATGCTGGCACTGAAGTCGTAGGATCAAAGAGGAATCAAGTCCAGCTCGCGGGGCTGACTCTTGGCCCAAGAGTGGATCCTTTACTGCAAGCGGCATGGGGTCTGTTGCGGCTGAAGCAGCAAGGCGGCCACATCTGAATGCCGCTCAAGTCTCGCCGCCAACAGAGGAGTGCGTTGCTGATCGTCGGGCTTGTCCTTGTCAGCGCCAGCTTCCAAAAGCAAGCGGACAACCTCCGAGTAGCCTTTCAATGCAGCCATGTAGAGGGGAGTGCGTTGCTGATCGTCCGGCTTGTCCTTGTGCGCACAAGCTGCCAGCAGCAACCGGACAACGTCCGGGCGGCCATTCGCTGCAGCCATGTAGAGGGGAGTGCGTTGCTGATCGTCGGGTTTGTCCTTGTCAGCGCCACCTTCCAAAAGCAAGCGGACAATGCCCCGGTGGCCTTTCATTGCAGCCATGTAGAGGGGAGTGCGTTGCTGATCGTCGGGTTTGTCCTTGTGCGCACAAGCGGCCAGCAGCAACCGGACAACGTCCGAGTGAAGATTCGCTGCAGCCATGTGGAGGGGAGTGCATTGCTGATCGTCGGGTTTGTCCTGGTCAGCGAAAGCTTCCAACAGCAAGCGGACAACCTCCGAGTAGCCTTTCGTTGCAGCCATGTAGAGGGGAGTACGTTGCTTATCGTCGGGTTCGTCCTTGTGAGTGCCAGCTTCCAGCAGCAAGCGGACCACGTCCGAGTGACCATTCGCTGAAGCCATGTAGAGGGGAGTGCGTTGCTGATCGTCGGGTTTGTCCTGGTCAGCACCAGCTTTCAACAGCAAGCGGACAACCTCCGAGTAGCCTTTCGTGGCAGCCATGTAGAGGGGAGTACGTTGCTTATTGTCGGGTTCGTCCTTGTGAGTGCCAGCTTCCAGCAGCAAGCGGACAATGCCCAAGTGCCCATTCTCTGCGGCCATACACAGGGGAGTATTTTGCTGATTATTATCTGGTTTGTCCTCGAAAGCGCCAGCTTCCAAAAGCAAGCGAACTGCGCTAAAGTGCCCATATTCCGCGGCCAGACAAAGAAGAGTGTGTTGCTGATCTTTGGGAATGTCCTTGGAGGCGCCAGCTGTCAGAAGCAGGCAAACCATTCCCGAGAGCCTCTGTGCTGCAGCTACATCGAGAGGAGTACGGTGCTGATCATCGGGCTTGTCCTTGTCAGCGCCAGCTTCCAACAGAAAGCGGACCACGTCTAAGTGGCCTTCCGTTGTAGCCATATAGAGGGGAGTGCGTTGCTGCTTGTCGGGTTTGTCCTTCTCCGCGCCAACTCGCAACAGCAAGCGGACCACCTCCGAGTAGCCTTTCATTGCAGCCATGTAGAGGGGAGTGCGTTGCTGATCGTCGGGTTTGTCTTTGTCAGCGCCAGCTGGCAACAAACAGCGGAGCACGTCCGAGTGACCATCCGCTGCAGCCATGTAGAGGGGAGTGCGTTGCTGATCGTCGGGTTTGTCCTTGTCAGCGCCACCTTCCAAAAGCAAGCGGACAATGCCTCGGTGGCCTTTCATTGCAGCCATGTAGAGGGGAGTGCGTTGCTGATCGTCTGGTTTGTCCTTGTCAGCACCAGCTTTCGACAGCAAGTCCACCACGTCCGAGTGACCATTCGCTGCAGCCATGTAGAGGGGAGTGCGTCGCTGATTGTCAGGTTTGTCCTTGTGCGCACAAGCTGTCAGCAGCAACAGGACAACATCCGACTGACCATTCGCTGCAGCCATGTAGAGGGGAGTGCGTTGCTGATCGTCGGGTTTGTCCTGGTCAGCGCTCGCTTCCAAGAGCAAGCGGACAATGCTCCAGTGACCTTTCATTGCAGCCATGCGGAGGGGAGTGCGTTGCTGATTGTCAGGTTTGTCCTTGTCAGCGCCTGCTTCCAGCAACAGGCGGACCACAGGCGGGCGCCCCATTTCTGCAGCCACACATAACGGCGGGAGTTTCCGATCGTCAGGTTTGTCTTTGTCAGCGCCAGCTTCCAACAGCAACTGAACCGTGCCGGCGTGCCCGAGAGAACAAGCCACAGACAGAGGGGTTCGCCCCGTCGCGGAGAGAAGATCCGGGTCCTGAGGTCCTTGGCTTCTTGTCGAAAGATACGCTCAGTTTGAACTGAATGCTCAGTCCGAATTCCTCCGTGCCGAAACAGAACCTCAACCATGCCTACACATTGGCAGACGAGCTTCGACGAAGAATGCTTTCTACTGCATCCACTCGATTGTGCCCGACCGCGGAGACGAGCTCGTCCAGCTCAGACACAGAGGCATCGGCAAAAGGCAGCAGCACCAGCTGCAGCTCCACAGGCGCCTCCAGGGTTGTCCCCTCGGACAAGATGGACCCGTCCGTGTCGAGCAACTTCTGACAAAACCTGGACTTCCCGCACAGCGGGTGCAGGTGCCGCATGAGACCCCGCACAGCTTGGCCGTCTTCGAGGGCAAGGCGTCTTAGATCCTCCTGTGAGAGAGCAGTCAGTTCTGCACCTGTGGCCGCACGAACCACGCGTATCATCTCCATGCAAGAAAGGAGGCAGCCTAGCCCCAAACCAACGACCCCTTTTATGGAATAGCCTCGGAATAGCTTCAAGACCCACGACCTACAGTACCTATTGAACGTTAGGTCATGATCCGACCCTGAGTTCATTCACCCTGAAGTCTAAAACGCGAAAAAACATGAAAACGGAACGTGAGACTTTGAATCCCAAACCCCAAAAGTGCGCTGTTGACGGACTGGCTGTGGCCCAAATGGTAGCAAGGGCGAGTGGGAAGAATGAGGTTTTAGGGTCTTGGACTTAATCCTTGGCACTTTTAGAACTTTCCAGTCATTAGTAGGGAACGAAGGAATAGCCATCCCCGATGATGATGGGCTACAAGGGCTGGGCATTAGAAGACTTCAGGATAAGAGTGCCCTGCCGCTGCGCCGTAAACTTTCCGGCAGGCCCAGGCTTTCCGTCGTGTTTTGTGGGTTTTCGGGTTTCGACTCTCACACTCGCACAAGGCCGGCAAGGCATCGGTTGGTAGGTCTGAAAGGTCTGACGCGACACTGAGGGAAGTTACTTGTGACTCTCCACGACATGACTTCCGCTCCAGCCTCCTCCCTTCGCATGCAAACCACAAAAGCAACAGGCTTCAACCCACAGAGAGTGCAAGAAGACAGCCATGCACAAGGGAGTAAGGGCTTGCTCTCTCCGGTTTGCTCGCTGTGAAACCTTACTTTTCGTAGTCTCTCGCACTACTCCGCACCCACTCAGCTCTGATGAAGGCTTTAGGGGTTAGGGTTTGCGGGCTCTCATACTCAGTGCTGACAACATAGACGCCTGGATTCTATCTTGGGTGTCTTGGCTATTGAACCTCCATTCTTGAAGCTGGGCCTAGGGGTCATGTTGGGTTTAGGGTTTATTTAGGGTTTAGGGTTTAGGGTTTAGGGTTTAGGGTTTAGGGGCCCCACGAACTTTCCTATGTGAAGCCCTAAGCGCGCAGCACTTCCATGCAAACTGAACTGCTGAAAGCATTATGCTGGAAACGGTTTCGCCCTAAACCTTTTTTTGAACGAGGTCTCTTTCGCCCTAAACCCTAAACCCTAAACCCTAAACCCTAAACCCTAAACCCTAAACCCTAAACCCTAAACCCTAAACCCTAAACCCTAAGAGTTCCCAGAACAGTCTGGTAGCAGGAAGGAGGTCATCTCAGCGGCCGAAGAATCGACGTTGACCCAAACCAAGCCCACCCAAAGCGAGAAGCCTTGGCTTCTTGGTTTGATAGAGGCTTTCAGGGCACAAGCTCTACTTAGGCTTGGAACCTCCTTAAGTAGGAGTTTTATGCGGAGAACAATCATAGCTGAACTGCTAGCTTGAAGAACCCAACGTATTGTGATCTGTTCATTGTGACTGCTGAAGTTCCTGATTGCTTGAACTACAAAAAGTCAATCAGTCGACGCACTGACAAGCTGCACTATTGGCTGTAGTTGCAAGCCGCTTCGTTTAGGCAGTCTTCTACAAAGCAAAGACGGGAGATCGTTTTTCCAGGCACGCAGCAGCTTAGAAGACAACCCCGACAAGTCAGGCCAGGCATGTCACCAGTCTGAAGATTTCTCGTGTGACCCTTTAGGTTTAGGTGAAAACTCTACCCGGTGCCGATCTCCACTTCTCATTCCACTACCTATTCCCTCGAGCTTGAGGTTTTTTCTTATGTCGGTTGGGGCTTAAGGTCTCGTCTTCACCTTCTCCCTCCCGGCTTGGTGATGCTCAGGTGGATGGGTAAGGGCTGGCGCCTGAACCTTTCCACCTTACGTTTCCAAATGCAAGGTCTTGACCTGGGTCATCGCCGAGCGAACCACCCTCATTGACTGACTCTGGTTCTCCCATTCCGGGATTCCAGGGGGCAGTAGATGGCCTGCTGCAAGGTGTCAGCCGCCACTTGGGCAACCCCTTGAGTGACCGTAAGCCTTGGTTGCAGGTATCCATGTGTATTTGCACCCTTTTAAACCTAACTTGCATGCGCACCATGCAAAGCTTGGACTGCAGTCAGTTCGACGCGAATGCTCTGAAGTTTCAGGCTCCTGGGGCCGTTTTGACTTGTCTACTTCGTGTTCAGAAGGACATGAGAAAAAAGGGAGGTCGAGGTCAACTACCCGGGTCAAATGAAAACAACAAAACACAGCGTCCAGAATCCACCTTGCATTTGGCCTCGGAGCTTCATACCTGCTGCCTCTTCCAGTGACAGCCGCTGGAGAGACGTGTGCCTTTGCACTGCTTTGGAGGCACACCATTTCCCAGCTTCGGGCTCTGAAGTTCCAAGGCTGTGCCCAAAGATCTGAGCCAAAATGAACCCCCCCTACCCCCCCCCCCCCCCCCCCCCCCCACCAAAACCCAGAAGAGAGAGAGAAGACAACAGACACACACACACAACACAAACCGCCACACCAAGAGAGCACACACACACACACAACAAGCCACACACACACACAGAGGTACACACACACACACACAGAGACACCACACACACACAGAGATGACACAAACACACACACACACACGAGACAACCCAACCACACACACAGACCACAGACACAACACACACACAGCGCACAACCA